ACCAGACAGGAGAAAAAGTGAAAAGCACTTGGAATTTTAATTGCAGGGTGGCTTTATCTAAATGACTGCACAAGTTCTTTTTGTGTTTTAACAAACAGAGCTTGCAGACCACCAATTTCCCCCAGACCCCTTGGACAGAAATCCCTTACAGATGACTGTTCCAGCTTATTTTTACACAGGACACTGGGTCCGGGTTGCACTACCCACATGGTTAAATGCAATCTCCAGATTGAATTCTTGCTGAGCCACCTGGACATGTTACTTCACTTCTCTGAGCTTCACTTTCCACATCTGCAGAGTGATGATGATAACACCCCCAAGCAGGGCTGGGTTACATATTCAATCGGGCACCATGTGTGAAGTCCTCAGCATTTTTGTTGGTAACTGATGGGACTGTGGACCATGAAGTCTCATGAAGCACTTTTTTTCATGGTGCATTTCTAGACCTGCCCAGTCTCCTTGAGGGAGGAAAAGTGGAAGGTACTGGACTAGATGGAACATAGCCAACATCATTCCTAGGAAAAGGCTTGCCCCACCCTGCACCAGGCCTCCTTAAAATTTCTCTGTAACAAGCTGGCCACCAGCCAGCGCATGGCTCAGTGAGCAGCTGTGGGTATGAGCAGCTGCGGGTGTGAGCAGCTTTTTAGGAAAGACAGGAAGAGTAGCTGGGGAGAGATAAACTGTGGGCTTCAGGACGCAGGCTGCTGTACGGACAGCAGCCTTTCCGGGACCTGTGGTCTAAAAGCGAAGAAGATGAGTGCACCGGGAGACACAGCCTGGACAGACTCTGAAGGCTTCAGAGGGTGAGTGGCTCATTTGTCTCACTTTCCATGCCAGGGACAAGGGAAAGGCAGGAGTGCTTATTCTTTTGGGGGTCCGCAAAGGGTAGACTACCTGTAGCAGAAGTAAGGAGACCCGAGCCCGCTCTTGTCTGGTTACGGGCAAGCTGTTCAATCTTGAGCAAGTCATCTCCCCTCTCTGGGCCTGTTTTCTCATCTATAAAATAAGGAATTGGCCAAGTCTAATAACCAGACTAATAATCATACCTAACATTTGTGCAGTGTTTACGAGTTTCACTTTTGAAATAGAATCTCATTGGGTCCCCGTGGCAACCCTTTGTTGAAGGATTGACTGTCACATTTACAGATGAAGAGGGCTTCCCAGGTGGCACTAGTGATAAAAAAAAAAACCCACCTGCTAATGCACAAGATGTAAGAGACATAGGTTTGATTCCTGGAGTGGGAAGATCCCCTGGAGAAGGACATGGCAACTCTCTCCAGTATTCTTGCCATGAACAGAGGAGCCTGGCGGGCTACAATCCATGGGTTTGCCAAGGGTTGGGCACAACTGAGGCGACTTAGCACACACGAACACACAGATGAGGAAACTATCACACACTGGGGCCAGTGGGCCTAAGAACCTGGTCTCCTGGGGACAGTTCTGGCCTCTCGTCAATACCAGGCTCCCCTGGAGCTCTGAAACCTGCAGATTCCCGGTTTCTTGTTGCGAACTACCTCCTTTTCCCTACCCGCCCTCACTCTTTACTTCCCACCAGTTGCGTCTTCTCCAGCCTCTTTGCAGAGCTTCCTTTCTCATCCTGTAGGCCAGGCACACTAGTATTTCTGAGACGAGGGAGGTTAACATTTGATACCCTGCCCCCATGTTCCCTGGGTTAGCACTTGTGTGCAGCCTGTTTCCTAGAACTTGCTCTGCTTTGTGGAATGTCTTCCTGTGGGGTCCCAAGAAAAGTAGTAGGTGAGGCTGTTTAACCTTCGGGGCCGTGTTTCTCCAGGTGTGAGCCTGGACCACGTTGTGTGGGTCACAGACATTCAGGGTTCTGCCTACATATGCAGATTCCTGGGTCCCGCCCCAAAGTTGGTGAATATGCAGATTGCTGGGCCCTGCCCCGAATTTGGTGAGTCAGAAGGGGCATTTCACCAGCTTCCCCTGTTTCTGACAAGCACTTACCAGGGCCTGGGAACCATGCTCAGGTGACTGCCCTGTTGGGCTGCAGAGAGCTGTTGATAGACTTCTTAGGAGTGAACACACTTATATTACTAAATTAAGTCCTTCCTGATGATGACGATAATTGATTTTTACTTTCTGGCCATGCTATGTGGCATGTGAGATCTTAGTTCCTCGATCAGGGATCGGACTCTCATCCCCTGTAGTGGAAGCTTGTAGTCTTAACCACTGGATCGCCAGAGAAGCCCTAATTTTTTAAGTAAACTTTAGGATTTAACTAGGTTATATTTTAGAGTTTTGCATCTCTGTAAGTGAAACTTGTCTAGAATTTTCTCTTTTCGCATGCTGTCTTCTGTGGGCTTGGCTAATGATAGCTTAGTAAAATAAACTAGGGATCTTACGGTCATTTTCTACAATCTGAGATGGTTTGACATTGGACTTATTTTCTGAAGATTAGAGAAAGCTCAACTGTGAAAACAAGCTGGGCCTGACATTATTTTAAATGTTGACATTTAGCCCCCTTACTAACTATTTAAATGACTATTGGTCTGTTCAGATTGTTACTTCTTGAAATTAATTCATTTCTCTATGTTCACCAATCGCTTGCACACAATACTCATATTTCTGGAGCCATTTTCTGGATTCTATTGCCTTTCTCAATATTAATATTTTATTTTTTCACTTTCTCTAATCACGCTTTTTTACTTAGTATTTTCATAGGACCGACTTGTTTTTTTCACAATGAGCATGCATGCTTAGTCACTCAGTCATGTCCGACTGTGACTCCACGGACTGTAGCCCTCCAGGCCCCTCTGCTCATGGGATTCTCCAGGCAAGAATACTGGAGTGGGTAGCTGTTCCCTTCTTTAGGGGCTCTTGCTAACCCAGGGATCAAACCTGGTTCACTTGCATTCCAGGCGGATTCTTTACCATCTGAGCCACCAGGGAAGCCCTTTTTTCACTATCCTGAGGCATAATTGATGTTCAATTATTAATAAAAATGAACAATTTGATGCGTATTGACATATGCATGCATCTGTAAAACCATTGCTGTAACCAAAATCAGTTTACCATTTTGACCTTTTTTCCCCCCAGTTTTCTAGTGTCTTAATTTCAGATTTTAAACTTGATTCTATCCTTCTATTCGTGTATGTGTGTGTTTTATTCTTTTTCTAGTTTCTTAAGTGAAAGCCCATTTATTTCATTTTTCAAAAGGTTATACTCCATTATAGTCATAAAATATTGGCTACATTCCCTGTGTTGTACAATATATCCTTGTAGCTTATTTTATACATAGTAGTTTGTACCTCTTAACCCCTTACCTCTGTCTTTCCTCTCTACCTGTCCTCTCCCTACCAGTAAACACTAGTTTGTTCTCTATATCTGTGAATCTGTTTCTTTTCCATTATGTTAATAGTATGTTTTAGTTTTTACATTCCACATATAAGTGATATAATAAAATATTTGTCTTTCTCTGACTCATTTCACTTTAACTCATTTATTTTTAATCTTATTTATATATTCAATTAACTCTCATTTTTTTGTGGTAGCTGTATTCTGTAAAGTCACCACAAACCCTGAATGAGGAAATTCTGCACCTTTATTCCTGGGGAAAATAAATACAGGATTTGGTTCCTACCAGCGGATGGGGACACAGTTTTCATATAATGATCAATACATGATTTGTTTTATGTGTTTCTGTTTAAAGACTCCTTTAAAGCAGAAATTGTTGATTCATTAACATAGACCTTATGGTCAACAGCACTAGAACTCGTGTCTGAACAAAGCTTATCTAACAATGTAATTTCTGCATAAGGCAGATCACAGACTTTTGTGCTTAGGAACACTAGACAGTATTTTGTATTTCCTAGGGGCCATTTTAAAGAGCAAAATCACCAGTGAAGAGTGCAAAAATGTGAAACACACAACACTAAATAGATTGTGGGAAAGGCATTTAAACAATAAACATAGTCTGAGAGCTGAGACAAGTAGGCAGATTGTTGCTTGTGTTGACCTCAACAGGAAACACGCACATCAAGTGACTCAAATGCATTCCCGCTTTACGCATGTCCACAGTGATCTCAGAAATGCTGCAAGTATAAGGGGGTTACAAATAAATTTTAGTGAATAGGCTTATTTCCATATATGGAATCTGCAGATAACAAGGATTGATTGTAGCTAAATTATTTAAAGTGATATTAAACTCATGGGATATAGACAAAAGCCATTCTCACGAAGGAAATTTAGAGAATAAGATGACATAAATTCTCACTCATTGACTCACCATTGACTCAAGTTTCGATTGCTGGGTTCTAATGCCACACAAAGTGTTAATCTCTGTTCTTATCACAGTTGAGCTAGCCCATCTGTGAGGGTTTAAGATGGCTGATGCCCTTGTGACATTGCTGATACATCCTGGACCTGGAGAGTCAAGCCCTCAGTCGCAGCCCTTGCATGGCTTATACTTGAAATGTTCAGGCAGAGGGTGGAGGTTCTTGGGTGTGATGGGAAAAGCAGTGGCCTTGGAGTTGACCTGCTGAATAAATTCTGCTAAATAACTGAAGAGTCTGTTTCCTCCCTGTAAAATGTCTTAGGGAGGAAGCTCAGAGCAGTCGAGTACTTTACATTTGGTAACAAGGACCAAAGCAAAGAGTGAGTGGGAAGGATTCAGAGCACAGTAAAGAGCTGGGTAACTGTGAGGTGGGATGTCACTGTCACCGTATTAATAACACCCATGGAGTGAGCCATTCTCTGAACTTAAGCCCATCGCCTGAGCTCCAGTTTACCGGGGCCCTGTCATCCCAGAACCTAAAGAGACTTAAGCCTGGGTCAGCCAATGCCCTAGATGGAAGGAAGAGACTTAAAGACAACAAGAAGCAGCTGTGGGGAAGCACTGCTCCCACCCTGAAGCTGGTTCAACCACTTGGGAAGACCACGACCCCAGCTGGAGGAAGACAGAGGTCCTGGGGCCACTGTGAGGCCTCCTGAGCCCTTGGACACCCCAAACCCACCCACCTGTCTCTTCTGTCTCCCAGCACCATGACTGCCGAGGAGGACACCAAGTGGCTTCAGTGGGTGGCACAGCAGTTTGAGACCATTGCGGGAAAAGATGGGGAGATCAACCTGCAAGACTTCAAAAAAGCCCTGCAGGTGAAAGAGGCAAGTGTCTGCTCCAGAAGTGGGGACCCCGTGCTTATATTTTGTAGAGGAGGAGCAATCTGGTTTCCAGGACACAGTACCTCACAAGGAGGGAAAAGTCTCTGCTACTGGGGCCCTTCCATCCATGGTGGTAGCCATGGCCTCCTAGGATCTTTCAAATAACACATGAAGTTGGAAATCAGTAGCTTGTCAAATCTTAAGAAATATTATTGACCTTACATTTACTGCCAGCCTCATGGGCAGAGGTGATGCCAAGACTTAAGTTTACTGCCAAAAAAACAAATTTTTCCATGGTTTGTACCCATTAAAGGCCTGTTTGCAGTGCCACACCATCCCCAGGCCTCTGTCTCGGTGTCATAGGTCCTCTGCCCATCCCCATAACAGCCTGCGTGCCTGACAAAAAGTAGAGACATGAGCAGAGAGGAGGGTGGGGTGAGCCTGCAAATGCCAACCTCTCCGCAGGTGTCCTCTGGGATGGCCTTTCGTGGTGGCCTGTATCCTTGATGGGAGTGAGACAAGGAGCATTTGAACGCCCCTGTTTGGATGGGAGGGCCCCTCACTTGCTGGTACCAGGGGCACTGCTTTGAACTCTAAACACTGTCTCCTTTCATAGTCAATATGGGGAAGGGAAAAAAGGCCTTCTGCCTAATTGGGGCTATAAGATATCTTAAGATGAAGACCATTCGGGATGGTAGAGTAATATTAGGAGAGTGATAAAGGCATTACTAAAGGGACCCAGGTGAAAAAGAGTGAGGCCGAAGCAGGGCTGACTGCCCACAGTGGACCTCGTGCTCATGAACCCACGCTTGTGAACTTAGATCAGACACTAAAGCCCTCAGGCCCCTTGCCCTGCCTCAGGGAGTAGATCTTGGCCTGGCATATCTGTGACACTGACCCAGCCTGTCTTCTTAATTTCTGTGTTTCCAGTGCCTAACATAAGACCTGCCTGGCAAGCGGGGGCTTGTGCAGATATGATTCTTGAATGAATGAATGGTTGAATGATGAATGGAGTGAGTGCACCAGCACTTGAGAACAAGTGCTGTTAAGAACAACTCTACATTAGGAGCACTTAATTGCAGGCTATAGGCAGCCCAAACAACAAGGCGAAGACATAGGTATTCAAGTGGCACCTTCTTTATAAAGCCTTCCTGGCTTCACTGTCCCTCGAGGTCACCGGAAGGGGAAAAAGACTGGACCTGGGAGGAACCTGCAGGGGGACACTCAATCTGACCTTTTTCCCAAGTTGAGTAAGGGGCCACCAGAGGTCTTGCCTGCAAGGCTGATGAGAGTGGTGGGTTATGGAGACAGAGAGCCTATGGAAATTACCAGGCCCAAGAGGCAGAAGGGAGCCCAGGACCCAGACACAGGTCTATCCTCGCTACAGGGATCTGAACAGTTCTCCTACCAGAGCCCAGAGTTGTTCTCAGCTGACAGGATGGGCCATGGACACTGTCCCCTGGTGTGGCTTCATTGGGAAGATCACAGGCTATTTTCAGTCACTTGAGTCCTCCCTGAATCCCACCACCCCACGGCATATGTACACACACACACACTCACACACACACACACACACACACTCACACAGTGAATGAATTCAAAGCCCAAGCTCCATGGCCACATTTGTACCCATCTCCTGTCCTCCTCTGGCCACAGTCTTTCTTTGCTGAGAGATTCTTTGTCCTGTTTGACTCGGATGGAAGTGGCACCATCACACTTCAGGAGCTGCAGGAGGCACTGACCCTGCTTATCCACGGCAGCCCCATGGACAAACTCAAATTCCTCTTCCAGGTGTATGACGTCGACGGTAAGCATCCTTGGTGGGATGGGAGGAGGACTCGGAGGGAGGGACAAAGGGAACGGGCCGTCTCAGTGACTGCCCAGCACTGGGCTAATGTCTCCAGGTGAGGCTGACAGCTTCCTCCCTCTCTCTGTGGGTTCCCTGCCCAGTCTCTGGTCCTCATCTCCCTTTTGTTGGGGGAGAGGGTGGGACACCGGCAGGCAGACAAATGCCCTTCATTCAACTCACAAGAAGCCAGAACTTTCCTTTGTTATTTTCCATGATTGAAAAAAGAAATTGGTTTGTTGCTTTTTAATAATAGTAATAGCCCACGATGAACATTTAAGACAATATAGAATGGTTTAAAAAAGAAAACAGGGGCACCGGGATGGGGAGTACATGTAAATCCATGGCTAATTCATTTCAATGTATGACAAAAACCACTGCAATGTTGTAAAGTAATTAGCCTCCAACTAATAAAAATAAATGGAAAAAAAAACATTCAAAACATGATAAAAAAAAAAACAAAAATCACCCATTGCATTTTTCTATACTGCCTTATAACTGATAGCATATACACATTCATCACACATTTTTAAAAAACAAAATGGGATTATAATACTATATACACTACCTTTTTTCACTCAGCAATATAAACAATTGATCATATAAGACTGCATTGCTTTATAATATCATTTTTATTATAGTAAAATAGTCATAATATTAAATTTATCACTTTAATCATTTTTAAGTGTATAGTTCAGAAGCATTAAGTAAATTCGCATTGTTGTGCAACCTTCACCACCATTCGTCTGCAGAACTTGTTCATTTTTCCAGTCCGACACTGTACCAACTAAACAATAACTCCCTACTCCCCACTTCTCCAAGAATTTGACTACTCTAGCTACCTTATATAATTGAAATTGTATAATAGCTGTCCTTTCATAATTGACTTATTGAACTTAGCATAAGCCTGGTAGGCTGCAGTCCATGGGGTCGCTAGGAGTCGGACACGACTGAGAGGCTTCCCTTTCACTTTTCACTTTCATGCATTGGAGAAGGAAATGGCATTCCACTCCAGTGTTCTTGCCTGGAGAATCCCAGGGACAGAGGAGCCTGGTGGGCTGCCGTCTGTGGGGTCGCACAGAGTCGGACACGACTGAAGTGACTTAGCAGCAGCAGCAGCAATGTTCTCAAGGTTCATCCATGTTGTACCGTGACAGGCTTTCATTATTTTTTAAGACTGAATGTGATCTGTTGTATGTATATACTACGTTTTGTTTATCCATTCATTTGTTAATGGACACTTGGGTTGCTTCTACCTTTTGGCTATTGCAAATAATGCTGCTATAAATATGGGAGTACAAATATCTCTTCGAGACCCTGCTTTTGGTTCTTTTGGTCATATATCCAAAAGTGGAATCACTGGATCACAGGACAATTTTTTTTTTTTTGAGGACTGCCATACTCTTTTCCACGGTAGTTGCACCATTTTACATTCACACCAGCAATACATAAAGGTTCCAATTTCTCTAATACTTCTACTTCTTTTCTTTTCTTTTTTTTTTTTGATAACAGCTATCTAACGGGTGAGAAGGGGAAACTCAGTGGAGTTATAGCATCATTTGTAGTGACTGCATTATGTGCCACTGTGTGACTTTGACCCTATGTTCCATGAAGCACAGCCTAGTACTTAAGATCTCTGACCCTGAGACCAAGTTACCCAGGTTCAAATCTCAGCTCCACCAGTTGTTAATCATGTGACCCTGGGCAAATTGCTTAACTTTTCCATGCTTTAATGTCCCACGTAACACATGAAAATACTGATCATCATAATAGTACATACCTGTGAGGTTGGTAGGATTAAATTAGTTATGTAAACTCAAAACAATGCCTAGTTCAGGACACTCCTTTACAGGGGTCAGTTGTTGTTTATTTACTCAAACACCATTTCCAAAATGGAGAATTCCATTGTTCTCCCTCCTTATTTTGGCATCATAAATGACACTGCAGTAATCATCCTGGTTTTTACATCGTTGGCAACTTTGTGGCGTAAAGAGTCTCTGAAAGCCCAGAATCATCAAAGGAAGGGACTCTGAGTGGGAAAAAGGCACCCAGTGAGCCTGGGGTGGTTGGTGAACCCAGACTGGGCAGGCCCCAGAGGTCATGGTTTGGAGTCTCCATACAATGAATACGTGGGGGGGTCACGGGGCTGGATTTGCATCTGGGAAAGCTCAACGCAGCTGCTGTTGTGCTCCTGGCACGGCCCTCTGGCCTATGGGGTTTCTCTAGCTCCTGTGTCATTTTGGCTATGAAAAAGGGCCTGTTATCACTTTGGAAGGACTTTGGAAGTCCAAATCAAGGAATTATTTCTTTTAAAAGAGACTGACACACATCCATAGTCTATTTGGATCAGATAGGGAAGGCTTCAACACATCCTGTGCAATAGTTGGTCTTGGGGTTGGGGGTCTCCCTCTTTCCAGGTTTTAAGAACCTGGTCCCTGGATTTATTTGTGAAGGAACTGCTCCTTCCTTTGCATTTTTAGTGGGAGTTTGCAGTGCCTTTGGGGCATAATCATGGATCACCTTCTGAATGTGTCCAAGATTAATAATATATCTCAGGGCCTGGTTCACACCCTCATCCTTTAGAATTCATCATTAGTAAGAAAAGGCCTCCACAGGTCATTTCAAATATGCTAAATCTCAGATTACTGCTGGGGCTACATGGACCCTGAGGAAGGCGATAGGAAACAAGTTGGTCCAGGGTTCACGAGTTTCTTGGCAGAGCTTTACTAAGGTTTGCTTTAAAGTATGGTTCATGATGGCTCTTGCCTTCATGGCTCTTGCCTTAGGCTCTTGCCTAAGCTGAAGGACAGGAGGTGTGACTAGAGAGTGGTGTGTTAGACTCTGCATCATACTGTGATTACAGGCTTTGATTTTGGCCCAAGTACTGATCATAGTACCAATAGACTTTAGTTTATATGTAGCTACTTTCTTCCAAATACTACACTGTTGTGTTGTTCAGTCACCCAGTCGTGTCTGACTCTTTGTGACCCCGTGGACTGCAACATGCCAGGCCTCCCTGTCCCTCACCATCTCCTGAAGTTTGCCTAAGTTCATGTCCATCGCATTGGTGATACCATCCAGCCATCTCGTGCTCTGACCCCCTCTTCTCCCTCTGCCCTCAATCTTTCCCAGCATCAGGGACTTTTCCAATGAGTCAGCTGTTCGCATCAGATGACCAAAATACCAGAGCTTCAGTTTCAGCATCAGTCCTTTCTGCTTTATGATTATCTATTATCCTTGAACCAATACTGAAAGGGAGGAATAATTAGCCCCATTTTAGAGATAAGCAAAGTCACAAAACTCTAAAGGATTTATAGCCCACCATCTAACAGTAAGGGGTAGAAGCATATTGTTACCTCATGTGTGTCTATATCCAAAACAAGTCAAGAAATTTCTAATCAAGGGTCCTACTACTTATGAAGAATGAAAATACATACAGAAAAAAAAAAAAAAGCCTTGGATCCCATCTCAGTTGATACAGTTGTTTCTCCAGTTAGCTCCAGGATCCTTGTGGATACCCAAACCCATGGATGCTCAAGTCCTTTATATAAAATGTAGACATACAGTCAACCCTTGATACCTGTGGGTTCATCCATCCACAGATTCAACCAACTGTGATCGAATTTGTAGATGAGGAACCCGTCTGTACTGAGGGTCAACTGTACTTTTGGCTTCCTTTTCACATCACTCTTAGCCACTCCTGTTCTCATAAGGTCACAACCCTGGACTTGAGGGACCAGTTGTGGCCTCTCAGGACAACATGGATGGATGAGCAGAGTCTGCTACAATTTGGGGAACAAAGAGAAACCTCTTCACCACCACCTCATATACAATTTGCCTCTGAATAATTGGGGCTCTGGGCACATAGCTCCTTATAGATTAAGTAAGCAAGTGTATCTTCTGGGCAGATGGTCTTGGAAGTTGAGTGGTACTTAGAGAGGAGGCTGCGGATTCTAGAGGAAGGCATGCACTGAGGCCAAAGATTCTCCATGCTTGGGAAGGTGTTTGCCTCTGTTGAGCCCGGCAGTAGGGAGCCATGGAAGGATTGTGAGCTGGAGGTGCCGTATGTCCTTTGATTGCCTGGTCTTTACTCCTAAAGACATCAGGTTGGCAGAAACCTGAAAGAACAGCAAGTTAATCCCACGATGCAGTGGTTGTGCAAGGCAGGGGGAGTTTGCAAATACAGAGTGAGGTGGGAGGGCCGTGGGTGCAGGTCCCCACTAGGCTTCATCGTTGCCTGAAACAGGCAGCGGCTCCATCGACGCTGACGAGCTGCGCACCGTGCTGCAGTCGTGCCTGCACGAGAGCACCATCTCGCTGCCCCAGGAGAAGCTGGACCAGCTGGCGCTGGCGCTCTTCGAGTCGGCCGACAAGGACTGCAGCGGCACCATCACCTTCGAGGAGCTCCGAGACGAGCTGCAGCGCTTCCCCGAAGTCGTGGAGAACCTGACCATCAGGTACCGCCCTGGCTGGTGCAGCGACACAGCCCGGTCCGGGATTAGAGCCCAGGTGCGAAGTGTAGCCTGAGCACAAGCAGGATCCCTCGGCCTGGCCCTGCCCCGCCCCGGTCAGCCCCGCCCAGCCCAGCCCCTCGGGTTCCCACCCGAGGCAGCTTAGCTCCTCTGCCCACTTTCTCTTGGGGCCAAATGCCTGTCCTGCCCTCTGCAGGGCAGCTGTTGTCATGCGTGCATTTTCTACAGGGTTCCTTAAGAATCAACTCAATATTAAGCACCAGCTATGTGCTGGGCATTTTTACAAGTATATCGTTGCATAACATGGAAAAGGAAATTGAGGTTACACAAAGAATGAAGTAAAAAAAAGACATTAAAACTATTTCACCTGAAGTAACACGCCTAGGTGCACACAAATAATTATCAAAGACAGTTATTTATTCGACTTGTTCGAGCAGCTACTCTGTACCAAGCCTTGTTCTCAATAATGGCAGAGCTCTGCTGGGGCTGCATTCCAGGCTGAGACACAGGTAATTTATACCAATAAACAAGTACATAAACTAGACAAGTACAAATTTGATAGGCGCTGTGGAGAAAATAATATAAAAAGGGTGTAACAACAGACCTAAGTTTGTCTGACTCCAAGTTCTGAATAGTGCCACTTTTGTACTTCATTCTTTTTGTGTATTAACTTCAAAAATTTCTCAGATTCTTCCATCTGTTATGATTGTCTCCCCACTCAAGGTAGTTAAAAAACTATGGGTATGGGTATGGTGTCTGACAGACGGGAGATTGATCCCAGCTCTACCTAGCTGTGTGACTGTAAGCAAGTCACTTGCCCTCCCTTTGCTGATGTGAAAGGAAGCCGGCCTGTTTGCTCCACAGCTCCCAAGGGTTAGCGGCTGCAGAGGGAGTGCGTCTCCAGGCTCCCACCCCGGTGGTCCCCACTGCGCCGCGCCCCTCTGAGTGGAGTCCTCTCTTACAGTGCTGCTCACTGGCTAACGCCTCCAGCTCCCCAGCGACGCCAGCGCCGACCTCGCCCGCTGACCTCTGCCTACTGGCACAACCACCGCAGCCACGCGCTCTGCCTGGCCGTCTTCGTGGGCCTCCACGTGCTGCTGTTTGCCCTGGCAGCTAGTGCCTACCGGGCCTTCGGAGCCAGCGTCATGGTGGCCAAGGGCTGTGGCCAGTGCCTCAACTTTGACTGTAGCTTCATCGCGGTAGGGCTCTGTGGGCACAATGCAGGGAAGCGGGCAGGGGGGCTGATGTAGGCTCCTCTTAGACTAAATGACCCACGCATAAACACCTGCATTGGCAGTGCAGGATGGCACCTTAGAAATCCACTGGGCCAACACTCAGTGGTGGGGACTAAGGCTCAGAGAGGGGCAATGAGTTGTCTGTTGTCACACAGCAGGTAAATAATACAGCTGGCATTTGTGTGTGCTCGCTATGTACCAGTCACAGTGCTAACCACTTTCCATAGGGTTACTGACCCTCACAATTACCCTATGGTGGACCCAGATGAGGTTGAGCTAGCTCCTGTGAGGGCTCCAGCCAGAAAGAGAATACTTCAAGAGGCCTTGAATGCCAGAATGTGATCCTCTGGACCAGAGCCTGAGGTCTCCAAGTGTGTTTGATAACACACTTCTACAACTGGAATAAATAAAACACAACAAAATAAACAAAAAACAAAAACCCCCTCCCAATTACCCAATATACGCTCACTTACTTATATGTATGCCCTGTTATTGTTAGCCAATAGGTTTAGGCACAATATAAGTCAAGATTCATCTTTAATGATCAGAGATGTACATCTCTAGTTCAAATACTCCTTTTGACACTATCAGTTTCTTACTAGAGTGGGTTTTATTTTTAACCTCATAACTGGCCTCAGAGAATTCACACCAGTAGTGGGAGACACATGACTCATTTTCGTGGTCACTTGCTCTTGCCTTATTAACACTATTTTCAATCTGCATTTTCTCTGTAGGGAATATTTTTAAGCTACTTGTCCTTTCTGAGGGGTAGTTAAGCTTACTTAAGTTAAAAGCAGTTAATGCAATCCACAAATTCACACATTAGGACAGGCATAAATTAAAGCAAATGAGTAAGGGAGAGGGCCCTCGCCATAAGCCCCTTAAAAAGAGCCGTCTCCCCTCAGGACATCTCAAGAACTACATGGGACATGGTGCCTGTCTGACCTATGACTAAATGGGGGCTCCATGTCTACACAGAGCCTAAATATTAGTAAAAGCTTATGTGCTTCCCACGTGTTGAGATAAAAGGAATACAAACATTCTATAAGATTTTCTCTTCCCTGCCCAGTTCTGGAGGTCCTACTTTGGGACCCCAGCTATGGATCTAGGGCAGCAACGGAATGCTTGAGGACAGGGGAGGTGGTGATGTGCCCTAGCCCCGCCCATCCTCCAGCCCCGCCCATCCTCCAGCCCCGCCCACCGCAACACTGCCCATCCTCTGGCCCCGCCCACCACGACCCCACCCACCCTCCAGCCCCGCCCATCCTTCAGCCCCACCCACCACGGCCCCACCCACACAGCCCGCCCATCCTCCAGCCCCGCCCATCAGTAAGCACAGCCATCTCAGGGGGAGGCGGGGAGACACCTGTGGCGAAGGGGGGGCCAGGTTAGAGAGCGAGCCAGATGGGCTCTCTACCACTTTGCTTGGCCAGGTGCTGATGCTCAGGCGCTGCCTCACGTGGCTGCGGGCCACGTGGCTGGCTCAGGTCCTGCTGCTGGACCACAACATCCAGTTCCACCAGCTTATGGGCTACGTGGTGGTCGGGCTCTCCCTCGTGCACACCGTGGCCCACGTGGTGAACTTCGGTGAGTAGCCTGGGGCTGGGGTGGGGTGGGGATCTGGGCTTTCCACAAACCACTAATTTATCCCGCTCCTGTGTCCTGGTGGGCGGAGAAGGGTGTCCTCCCCTTCTCCCCATAAGCTGGATGGGGAGAAGTGGGAACCCCAACAGGAAGGTGCAGTGGCCGATCTTGTCTTGTGCTCGTCTCCAGCGCTCCAGGCTCAGTCTGAGGCCAGCCCCTTCCGGTTTTGGGAACTCCTGCTCACCACGAGACCTGGCATCGGTTGGGTTCATGGCCTGGCTTCCCCGACCGGCGTGGCTCTGCTCCTGCTGCTGCTCCTCATGTTCGCCTGCTCCAGCTCCTGTGTCCGCAGGAAAGGCCACTTTGAGGTGCCCCAGACTTTCCCCTTTGCCTGGCCTATCTTGGGCTCCCACCTTCATTTCTTCCTTTTTTTTAAAAAAATTAATTTTTGTTGGAGTATCAGTTCAGTCGCTCAGTCATATCCTACTCTGCGACCCCATGAATCGCAGCACACCAGGCCTCCCTGTCCATCACAAACTCCCGGAGTTTACTAAACTCATGCCCATCGAGTCAGTGATGCCATCCAGCCATCTCATCCTCTGTCATCCCCTTCTCCTCCTGCCCCCAATCCCTCCCAGCATCAGGGTCTTTTCCAATGAGTCAACTCTTTGCATGAGGTGGCCAAAGTATTGGAGTTTCAGCTTCAGCATCAGTNACAGGTTTCTCAAGAGGCAGGTCAGGTGATCTGTTATTCCGACCTCTTTCAGAATTTTCCACAGTTTATTGTGATCCACACAGTCAAAGGCTTTCGCATAGTCAATAAAGCAGAAATAGATGTTTTTTCTGGAACTCTCTTGCTTTTTCGATGATCCAGCAAATGTTGGCAATTTGATCTCTGGTTCCTCTGCCTTTTCTAAAACCAGCTTGAACATCTGGAAGTTCTCGGTTCATGTATTGCTGAAGCCTGGCTTGAAGAATTTTGAGCATTACTTTACTAGCGTGTGAGATGAGTGCAATTGTGCAGTAGTTTGAGCATTCTTTGGCATTGCCTTTCTTAGGGATTGGAATGAAAACTGACCTTTTCCAGTCCTGTGGACACTACTGAGTTTTCCAAATTTGCGTGCAGTTTTCCAAATTATTGGGATAATAAGTTTTCCAAATTATTGGAGTATAATTGGTTTCTATTGTTCAGCAAAGTGAGTCACCCACCTTCATTTCATGCTGTGCCCCCTCCAGCTTACTCCAGAGCCCAGGAAGTTCCAGGTGGTTTACACACTATGGACATGTGACTTGGGTTCTGCCACTGAACTGTGATTTTTTGTCTGGCAAGTGAAAATGTTCTGCTCTAGAAGATTCTACCTTTTTTGCTGGCTTATCCTCTTGCTCTAATTGGATTTAACTAGGCTCAAGATGGCACAAAGAGGGCAAGAAACAAGCTCTTGAGAGTTCTAATCCCCACCCCACTCCTTATTGATCATTCCACTGCTGTCATTTATAAAGCAGAGCTGTGTTCTCTACCTTTGGAGTTATTTTAAAAATCAAATGAGATAATACAGGTGAAGTCAATAACTATACACACCTAGCACGTGGGCGCTCTACAGGTGTTAGGTCTAGCTTTGCTTCCTTCTCTCTAGCCTCCTGGAGATATAAAAGGTCCTGGAGGGTCTAGTTTGGAGATTGTGTCCCCTGGACTGATTTGGTCATAGCAGAAAAATATATGTATATATACAATCACCTACTCTGAGCCAACAATGATCCTTTGAAGTCATAATCAGCATCCTCACTTGACCCACAAGGAATCTGACTCATAGAAGTAACTTATCAGACCGAGGCCACAGAGCTAGTAGCCGAGCAGGTGTTAAAACTTGGGGCTTTGCTCTTGCTTCTCTACTGCCAGAATATCATTGCTCTCTTTCCTTCCTTCTCCCTGAGAAAGGGTCAGTGGGTCGGGACACTGGTGCTGATGAGCCCATCAGAGGGGGCAGTCCACCCTGCCCAGAACACGCCCAGGCAGATGTTCCAGGTGTTGGTCACTGGCGCCAAGAATCTTCACTTACAGACTCTCTGAGCCAGGCCCTCAGAACAAAGAGGCAACAGAGCTTCCCACCCCCAATCTCCTACCCAAGCTTGTTCCCAGGAGCGGGTGTGTATGGCCAAAGCTCTGGGCACAGTGCTGGCTTTGAGGATGACCATGAACCTTGGTTCTGTCCCCCCACCCCCGTGCCTTGACATTTTACTCCCCCATCTCCCACAGGTGTTCTACTGGACCCATCTGTCCTACCTCCCCATGTGGCTCCTGCTCATCCTGCACGGGCCCAACTTCTGGAAGTGGCTGCTGGTCCCTGGCACATTATTCTTCCTGGAGAAAACCTTCAGCCTGGCAGCATCCCGCATGGCGGCCCTGAACATCGTGGAAGTCAATCTCCTCCCTTCCAAGGTACAAAGGGGGCCCGAGGAGCCAAGAGGTGTCCCAGGTGGTGGGGTGCAGCACCTGGGTACTCTGTTAGACCTCCACCCCCAGGAAATAGGGAGCACGATGGAGGAGACAAGCAAGTGCAAGACTTAGTCCAGCCCTGCAAGAGTGACGCTTCTGGGAGGGGAATGGTGGGTAGGCAGGGTACTACTAAAGGCCAGGTGTGCATAGAACACCTTCAGTAAGTATGTGTTACATGTCTGCAAGGTGGCAGGCCCTGCGCTTGGTGACAGAGATGCAGAGAAAGTGGAGGCACTCTCCTACTCTCCATAGACACACAGGATAATAGGAGAGTCAGCCCTTTCATCAGTGCAGGGCTGTGTTGGCAAGAGAAGAGGAATCTCAGGAGGCGTTAAACTCTGTCTTTGAGAGATCAGAAAAGCTTCAGAATGAGAGGGGAGCTGCCTTATCAGGGTTTTGAGAGATGAATAGAAGTTTGTCGGATAGACAAGACAGGGAAGGGTATTGCTGGGAGAAGGAACAGCATGGGCAAAGGCAGAGAGTAGTGAAAGGGCATACTGTACTGAATGGACCACAAGTAATTTGGAGCCGAGGTGCCAGGGAGAAGCTGGAGCGGTGGGCAGGGCCTAATGGTGAGTGGCCTCACTCTGCAGACCATGGGAGCGCCTGAGCAGGGTGGGAGAGGATGGTGGTATTGAGCTGGTTTATAGTCCAGCTGGACTTCTTTAGTTGCTCCGTGGAAGATGGCTTAGAGGACCACTGGGGCGGCTGTTGCACATACGCAGAGGAGAGCTCATGAGAGCCTTGACCCTGACCAGGGTGAGGAGGGGGCATATCACAGAAAGACTCGAGAGGCAGCTGGCTGCATTTGGGGTGGGGGTTGGTGGGTGGGGGAGGAGTCTAGGCTGTCTTGCAGGTATCTGAGTAATTGGGGCCATTTTTGGAGAAAGGGCCAGCAGTTTTGGGGGGGCTTGACTCTGAGCAACTTGGAAGTGAGGACACGGAAGCTGGATAAGAGACTGAGGTTTGTGTCTAGGCCCTGGCATCAGACAGAGTGGTTAGATTCAGATCCCATGGTTTCTTAGCTGGTGCTCTTGAGCAAGTCATTTAGCTTCTCTAACTCAGCCTCTCCTCCGTGGAGTGGAGAAAGATTGACATTCGTCTCACGGAGTTGTTGTAAGGACTAGAGGTAGCGCTTAAAGAGCTCCATACAGCTCTGGCACCTGTAAGTGGTCAATAAACCAAAGTTACTCTCCAGGAGGCTGTTGTATCCTGGAAGAAATGCCTGTTCCTGGTTGGAATGCCAGCCAAATGCCACAGCAGTTCCATAAAAGGGGCTGGAGCAGTCAGGGGGCTTCACAGAGGAGGAGGGCCACTAGGAAGCAGTATTTACACCAGAGGAAGTGGGATCACACCATGAGCCCCGCTTCAGACACAGCCTGCCTCCCCTTCTCTGATTGCCACCTACCACCCATTGGCAGATGTGCTGTAGGGTGAGCTCCCACTCAGAGACACAAAAGGTCTCATGTCATGCTGGCCTGGGTGATGGTGGAAGAAGATGGCCCAACCTGTGGTCCTGGGGCCCCTGGCAGCTCTGGGTCTGCACGGATGACCCTGATCTGTTTCTCTCCCCAGGTCACGCATCTCCTCATCAAGAGGCCGCCTCTTTTTCACTACAGACCTGGTGACTACTTGTATCTGAACATCCCCAGCATCGCACGCTACGAGTGGCACCCCTTCACCATCAGCAGTGCTCCTGAGCAGAAAGGTAGGCCTGCACCAACTCCACCAGTCTCTCAGGGGGTGTTACCGAGTCCCTGCCACGTGCTGAGCAAGGCTGTGAACCAGGAACACATGGGGCAAACAAGACCCGGGACACAAACCCGGGCTCCCTGGTCTTCCTCTGGAACATGGGGGCAGATGAGCAGATGCTGACTAAACGGGGTGATCAGGGCTCTACCGGCTTCTGTGAGGGTCACCGGGGAGGGCCTGACCTGGTGGGGGAAGTGGGCAGGGTGGCCTTTCAGCTGAACCTTGAAGGGTTTGTAGGAGTTTACTAGGTAGGAGAAGGGCATGGGGGTGAAGGCAGAAGGGGAAGCATGAGACCTGCAAACCTACGTAGAGGGGTCTGATGTAGTTTGGGGGTCAGGTGGAGTAGGGAGGAAGGAAGCAGAGGTGAGTGGAAGGAAGAGAAGGTCAGAGAAAGGACCGAAGTGGCTGGCAAAATTGGTAAGAGCTAGTGTGGGGTCAGGAAGGTCTTCAAATGCAGGGTGAAAAGTGGAATGGCACAGGCAGTTGGGAGCCTGCAAGGGTCTTAAGCAAAGGAGTAGTGGCTCAGATGAAGGGGCACCAGGGCATTTCCAGAGGGCTGTGACAGACAGGAAGCCAGGCTTCCCCACTCCATGTGGGCATGAGACCTGGGGAGCCCCAAGGCAAGAGAATCCCTTCCCATCCTTCTCCCCCATCCCTGACCACTTCCATCCTCTGGGTGCCCAGCACCCACAGAACTACTCAGCTGACCTTCTCTTCGCCCAGCTGTCCTCNTTTTTTTTTTTTTTTTTTTTTTTTTTGCTGTTTTATAAAGAACAGATATGCTCCTGGAAAATTCGGACAGTATAGAAATATGTGCCAAAGAAAATTAAAATCCCTCAAATAATTCTACCCAAGGAAAACTATTGTCAATCATTTGGTGAATAGCTTTCCAGATCTTGATGTATCACCATGAATAATCGGATATAGAGATAATTCTGCATATAAGGGATTATGGTTTTGCATATAAGGGATTATACTGTTTTGCCATCCACTTTTTCTCCATGAATAATATGTCATGAAGGTCTTTGCATGTCAGTTCTTTTAAAAGAAGAACTTTTCCTTTTCATGGCTGCATGCTATTCCAGTGTATTAATAGTAATAGGATTATAATATAAATGTGTAATTTATTTTACCAGTTTTTTAAAGTGTTTATTTATTTATTTGGCTGCACTGGGTTTTAGCTGTGGCATGTGGGATCTAGGTCCCTGACCAGGGGTCAAATCTGGGGCCCCTGCATTGGGAGTCTTAGCCACTGGACCACTGGGGAAGTCCCTATTTGACCAATTCTTGAAGGGTTTCTTCAGGGTCTCTGCTTGGACTCTCTTAGTCCTGAGCCCCCTGCAGTAAGTGAGTCCACGTGGGGGCTGGTAAATCCTCTGATTTTGTAGAGCTGGTTTCCAGGATCAGGAGTGGAAGTTAGGCTGGCAACTCTGGCTGAACTGAATTTGACTGGCATTTGAGAGGCCTGCTCCATCTGAGCCACTGTGTGAGGCAGTTCAGGGTGTATCTGTGCAGACGGGGCACAGTGCAGCCCTCCTGCTGCTTTGCACCTTGAAGGGGAGGGAGTGCCAGGGAGGCTCCTGGGAGCAGGGGTCCCAGGACCTGACTTTTTCAGTCCGCTCTGCACGAAGCTGTGAGAGCGTGAAAGTGAAAGTGTCTCAGTCACGTCTGACTCTGAGACCCCATGGACTATGTGGACTATATGGTTGTTGTCCATACTTTGACATGTCATTCACGCTCATCACGAATTCACATCTCCAGTGACCACGCAACTCCTGCTGCATCTCGTTATTTCATGTATTAACAAAAAAGCACATGTATTTTTAAATCAAAAAATTTTAAAATTTATTTTGGTAACAGTCTCATTATAATTGGTTTCATTCATAATTTCTACGTATATTATTCAAAGTATTTAAAAACCTTATTTTGAGAAGGAGTTTATCCTTGCCTTCACAGGACTGCCAAAAGAGTTCATGATTTAAAATAAAAGAAAAAGAATGAGAACTCCAGACCAGGAAGTCTCTTAGGGGCCTTCTTGCTCTAATGTATGTTCTTTCTGGTACCCCTCAACACCCTTCTACCAGTCATCCACTTAATAGGGAACCTTAGCAAACACCCTCTGCATCCCAGACACAGAGAGCAGTGAAAGCTACTGGTCCCACTATTGACTGAGCACCTTCTGTGTGCAGAACCATTGACAGGCCTCTCATAGAATGTGGGAGAGAGATGGTCCCCAACCTTGCTGAGACCCTGGCTTGATGGAGGAGGCCAGGCCCTCACCTCTAGGGAGCCCCCAGTGTGCTCAGGACCGCTCTGACCCCTGCCTTGGCAGAGGAGACTGAACATGTAGGTTGACTTCACTGAGAAAAATTGCAAGGTCTGCACCAGAGAGGCCAGCTCTCCCAGGCTCATGGCTGTGGCTGCTAGTTCGGACCTGAGGAAGGGTGTTCAGAGGAGAGCCTGAGGGGTGGATGCCCAGTCCCAGTCACTCCAGTGAGACAGGTGTCCCTGTGGAGACCGGCACTGACCCCTCACCGCCTGCCCTGTCTCTTGCTCAGACACCATCTGGCTACACATCCGGTCCCAGGGCCAGTGGACCAACAGGTTGTTTGAGTCCTTCAAGAAATCAGACCCACAGTTCTGTGGTTCCAAGAGGCTCTCGAGGAGGTTGGAGATGAAGAGGAGTCAGAGGAAGTCCCAGGTAAGTGACTGAAGGGGATAAAGGGTCCACCGTGGTGACAAACCCATGGGGACCAAGTTGCCTTCTTAGCTGGCAACCCCTGAGCAGTTGTGAACACTGGCTGGGACAGCACAGAGGGTAGGCCAATTGAGAATGTGTGGTCCAAGAGCCTCCTGGAATCCGGACCACACCTGATCCTTCCTGGTCCAGTGTGCTCCATTAGAAGGCAGGGGACAAGGCAAAGAGGGGGAAATTGAGAGGAGAAAAATCCGTTTCTACCTCTCTGCTCTAGTATTTTCTAACTGTATGGACTTGGGCACATCTTTTAGCCTTACTGAGCCTCAAGTTGTTCACCTATGAAATAGAGGTGGTTCCTGTCCTTGGCTCTCCTTTCTAACATGATTGTTTTAAGGACCCATGGAATGTATGCATGTAAAGTATTGCATGAACTGGGCAGCATGGTCCAGGTGGACCATTCATTATCCTTATTAGCACGACCACCACCACCGTTATCATCATCACCACCATGAGTTTAACAATCTTTTGAAGCCTGATGAAACCCATACAATTGACAAACTGCCAATGAATACAGGCTCTGGGAGGCTTGGGAGGAATGCAGAGAGGTCAGAGCAGCACTTGAAGAAGCAGGAATCGATATAGAAGGCTGAGGGTGCCTGAACACTAGAAGGCTGTGCCACCAGGCCTGGAATCAGGTTAATAAGTGGAAACCCTGCTGAATGTCAAGGGAAGAGATTCCCCCAGGCTGACCCAGCCCTTCCTTGCCCTCGTGGAATATAAAGTCCAGAGAAGGAACCAGGTGGAATCCTGCCTGGCCAGACCAGAGGGCCCTTCTAGAAAGTGCCAAGAGCAGAACTTTGGGGAATGGAGAGATAGGTAGAAACAGGCAGGGTGTTCTTTCCTGTTAATCAGGGGAGACCTCCTGAAGGAGGAAGCTGATCTTTAAAATCAGGTGAGTGCTGGCACACTGAGGATTGGTGGGTAGATATACTAAAAGCTGTCTTTCCTTGGGGTCTCAGGCACCACTGCCAAAGAGTAAACAGGCACAGGCTTTCTGGTGGACAGTCTGGCTATATGTGTCTGCATTTTAAATATCTATACACAGTAGCTTACAAGTGAAAGTGTTAGTTGCTCAGTCAGGTCTGACTCTTTGTGACCCTGTGTACTGTAGCCCACCAGGCTCCTGTGTCCTTGGAATTCTCCAGGCAAGAATACTAGAGTGGGTAGGCATTCACTTCTCCAGGGGATCTTCCCCACCCAGGGATGGAACCTGTGTCTGCTGCATTGCAGGCAGATTCTTTACCATCTGAGCCACCAGGGAAGCCTTCCTAACCGATGGCTTAGCAATGCCATTTTTAGGAGTTTAATCCTAAAAAGCTATTTGGACATGTATGCAAGCTCATTAACCACTTCTTTCATTCATTCACTTAGCAAATATTTAGGGCTTCCCTGGTAGCTCAACTGGTAAAGAATCCTCCTACAATGCAGGAGTCTTCAATTCGATCCCTGGATTGGGAGGTTCTCCTGGAGAAGGGAAAGGCTACCCACTCCAGTATTCTGGCCTGGAGGATTCCATGGACTCCATGGGGCTGCAAAGAATCAGACACGACTGAGCAACTTTCACTTCACTTATTGAGCACAGGATCTACTGTTTTCCAAGTACTATTCTAAATGCTGGAGATTGGTCAATAAGCAAAATACCCATTGTCACTGCTTCCAGTCCAGAGAGGGTGGTGGACAGTAAATACACAATAGAGACATAATGTGTCACATGGTAATAAAGACCATGAAGAAAATAAGTCGGAGTGAAGGGGAAGAGCTGTTTTATACACCATGGTTGTTAACAATAATGAGAAAATGAATATAATCAAAATGCCCAACAATAGGGAAGCAGTTTAAAAAATTACCAATCACCCTTCTAATGGAAGAGTAAGTTGCCTAAAAAAGATTATGTAAATGTATATGCATTAGCATGTAAAGCTAGCCAAGATGTAGTAAGTGGAAAAGCCAAGTTACAAAGTAGTATGTTCCGTTTATGTGAAAGTGCGTGTGTGTAAGTCTCCTACAATGCAGGAGTCTTCAATTCGATCCCTGGATTGGGAGGTTCTCCTGGAGAAGGGAAAGGCTACCCACTCCAGTATTCTGGCCTGGAGGATTCCATGGACTCCATGGGGCTGCAAAGAATCAGACACGACTGAGCAACTTTCACTTCACTTATTGAGCACAGGATCTACTGTTTTCCAAGTACTATTCTAAATGCTGGAGATTGGTCAATAAGCAAAATACCCATTGTCACTGCTTCCAGTCCAGAGAGGGTGGTGGACAGTAAATACACAATAGAGACATAATGTGTCACATGGTAATAAAGACCATGAAGAAAATAAGTCGGAGTAAAGGGGAAGATCTGTTTTATACACCATGGTTGTTAACAATAATGAGAAAATGAGTATAATCAAAATGCCCAACAATAGGGAAGCAGTTTAAAAAATTACCAATCACCCTTCTAATGGAAGAGTAAGTTGCCTAAAAAAGATTATGTAAATGTATATGCATTAGCATGTAAAGCTAGCCAAGATGTAGTAAGTGGAAAAGCCAAGTTACAAAGTAGTATGTTCTGTTTATGTGAAAGTGCGTGTGTGTAAGTCTGGAAGGACAGAAAATGGTTAGAGAAGTTGTGTTTCCTGATTCAGGGTGCTTTTTTACTCTATCCTTTAAAATTCTGTAGTTTCTGAGTTTCTGTTTTAAATTGTATTGATTTATGATTTAAATAATAAAGCAATATTTGTTTTGAAACCAAGCAGGGCGTGCAGCCGCAGCCCATGCATTTCCGAGCCTCAGCACAGGGTGCGTTAGCCTCCAGCACGGAGGTGGTTGTGGAGCTGACATCCTACCGGCAGGAGGGAACTCCGTGGCAGGAGCGCGAAGGCATGGTGAACACGGGGACAAAGGACAGGACTCGGGCACAGAGGGAAGCTGCAGCCGAGGACCGGGCCCTGGTAAGGCTGAAGAAGCTGGGGCTGGGGGTTGGAGAGCCAAAGATTCTTCTCCCAGGAATGGTGGGTGGGTCCTTGGAACTTGGAAGAGAGGGCCCCAGTCAGGAAGGACCCCACACCACATGGTGTTTCTGCAGCCTCTCACCTGTATGGCAGGCACCTTTGTAACTTTGATCATATTTACTTCCCATAGGTAGTATCTCCCACTGAATATTTCTCCTTACATCCCAACAGTACTTTAAACTTAATTGTATTTTAAAAGGACTCTTTAGATTAGTGTGTTTAATGGAAAATCAGTATCATGTGCCATAAAAAAGATAAGTCTAAAAGCAAAAACAATGTTATTAAATTCTTGCCAGATGTTTCTGCCTGTTAAATGAGGCTCTGAGCCTGAAGCTGCTGTCTTCGGCTTGTTCCCTCTCTGTCTCTGTCACGCTCTCCCTTTCTTTCTTTCTCACATTGTTGAAAGGAAAAAAAAAAAAAGAAGAGGGAATAGTGTTAGAGGTTAAGGGGATATAATAACCACGATGTAAGGCTTTCTCCTTGCAATAAGAAGGATTTTTTTTAAACTGTTAGAGGAGCAGCCCTCTCACAGCGCACCTCCTAAACTAACCATCACAAGTAGTTCAAGGCCAGCCCCGTGGAGGACCCAAAATTCAGCTGCCCCTGGACAAAGGAGCAACGTGGCGTGATGTGGTGAGCGCAGGACAGGCAGACAGAGACCCAGGCTCTCCCCCAGCTCTGCAGGAACTTGAGTGAATCATTGTCTCACTCCCAGATTCATCTTCTCTTCTATGAAAGGAGGGATTTTCCTGGATGATTGTGAAGGTCACTCCTAACCAGAGAGAAGCTATCACAGGCCTCTGAAGCCCTTTTGTGGGTCTGTTTCCTTCATCTTCAGGCAGGAAGCACATGAACCTCAAGGAATCTGGTCTGGCTGTGCTCAGCGCTGGAGGAGTCAGGCAGAGCAGGCAGAGGAGGCCTGCTCCCTGCCCTCAGGGGGCTCCCCATCAGCGAGCCCAGTGCAGGGTCCCCAGGGCAGGGGTGAGCTGTGAGCCAGGCCAGCACCTGGTCTTTCTGCTCGGGGACACTGGGCAAAGACTCTAGGAAGGTGGCCACTCCAAGCAAGGTGCACACTGAGGGATGCGCAGGAATTTGCCAGCTGGGGAAAAGGAAAGTGTGGTGTGCTCTGGGCACAGGGAAAGAATGTTCAAGGCCAGGGTGTGTCTGGAAACATGAAAGCAATTGGATGTAGCTGAGCCCACGAGGCAGGCGGGCTGAGTGTTCTCCTGTCACACCTGACACTGACTTGTATTGGACCACAAGAGCGATTGTTAAATTTTCAGGAATTTTGAGAGCCTGTTTTTTTTTTAATTCTTGTTGTTATTTATTTTTTATTGTTGGCTGTGCTGAGTCTTCATTGCTTTGCTTGGGCTTTCTCTAATTGCGGTGCTGGGACTTCTCATTGCAGTGGCTTCTCTTGTTGTGGAGCACGGGCTCTAGGCTTACAGGCTTAGTAGTTCCAGCATGCCACCTCAGTAACTGGGGCTCAAGGGTTCTAGAGCATGAGATGGGTGGGGGAAGCCAGTTATTAAAACCAGTCATTGGTGGGAGCCGTGATGACAGTGTTTACATCAGAAATCTCGACACTAACAATCAGGAATTTGATTTTGGTGGTCCTTTCTTCTGAGGAGGAGTCAGTTTACCAGCACATCACTGATGTTTTCCCTCGAAAGTGCCCCATGCTCCTTGGAATGGTTTGGATAGAAAAGGCAATCCCCTTTTTGTAAGGTTGCTCAGACTGCAAGGGCGAGTAAACCTCTGAGAAATGCCTGGCCCACCCACTCCCAGAGACCCACTTTCTCTGCTCTGTGCTCAGCAGGTCTCCGAGATGTGCTCTGAGAACCACCAGTTCTGTAACATCAAGGTGAGTGGTTCCGGGGGTGGCCGTGACCAAAACCACTGTCCCAAGCGGAGGACAAAGCCTCTGCCCATGGGGAGGGCTTGCTGGGGCGCTCAGTTCCCGTGTTCTTCGTCCCCACAGCCTGACTCCCAGGTCTCCAGATAATGGGAATCAGACCCCTGCCCAACCTCACAGGGCACACGGCTGTGCTGGTTGGACCCTGCTCTCACCAGATCTGCACGTGGGAGTTCTAGGGTGCTCCCAGACTCGAGTTCAGAGCGCAGTGTGTGAACAGTGCTCTGAGCAGGAGCCACTGACTCCCGGGTTTCAGCCCAGGAGACAGCTGCCTGCATATACAGGGGGTCTGAGGTGTTGGGGTCCACTTCTCACCTGCCCACCCATCCCTCTCCCTCCTCCAACCCCTCCCGTGTGCAGTGCTACATCGATGGCCCTTATGGGACCCCCACTCGCAGGATCTTTGCCTCCGAGCATGCTGTGCTCATTGGTGCAGGCATTGGCATCACACCCTTTGCCTCCATCCTGCAGAGCATCTTATACAGGTGGGTGGGCAGGCTGTGGTCCTGCCTGTATCCTGGGGCAGAATCCGAGAGATGCCCCCCCTCCCCACTCCCTTATCACCTGTCTCCGTCTCCCCTGTTACCTCTTTCCTCTTCTGTTTCTCCTCCTGCTCTTTTCTGGGGTCTCATCCCTCCCCCTCCTCATGGTCTCATCCCTCCCCCTGCCACCCCACCCTCCCTCCCTGTCCCCTGCACTGCTCTCTGGGGTCCTGAGAAATCTCATACTCACCCCAAACTCAAAACCCCCTCCTGTCCCCTCCCCTCAGACACCAGAAGAGAAAACACATTTGCCCCAGTTGCCAGCACTCCTGGATGGACAGTGGTCAGGACGAGGACATGAAACTCCACAAGGTGAGTGAGCACTGCCTCCTACAGGCAGGACTCCAGAGCTTCTCCCCAGACACCAGAGCCAGTTCCTCCCCGCCCAGCTCGTCTCTCCACCTCAAGAGACATTCTGAGCCCTGAAGGCAGGCCTCTCATTAAAGAACACAGCCTGAAAGTCAGGCAGCTGGGATGCAATCACAGCCATGATGCTTGCTAGCCGTGGCCTGATGGTGGTTTTAAAAATGAAAATGCTTGCCATTTGAAAATTCATTATTCTGTGTAAGCCACTTAAAAGAGTTTCTTAAAAAAAAATGTTCTTCTGGCTTAATAAGCTTAAGAGCTCAGAACACTGCTTGCTGTGAGCAATAGATTATTAGGGAAAACTCTGACCTGGCAGTCTAGAACCCATGCTGGTCCCATGCTGCTCTGTAGCCTCATTCTTACCTCTGTGAGCCTCAGTTTGCACCCCCATCCCACTCCCCTCCTACCACCCCAGTTAAATGGGAATGGTAGTGTGTGCTGTGCTAAAAGCAGGGTGGTGGCATGCGGGAGCCTAGGGAGCACAGATAAGAGTGAATGAGGTAACCCCCCCACCCCCCACCCTGATCTGGGCCCTTCTCCCTAGGTGGACTTCATCTGGATTAACCGAGACCAGCAGTCTTTCGAGTGGTTTGTGAGCCTGCTGACCAAACTGGAGATGGACCAGGCCGAGGAGACGCAGGAGGGTAGGAGAGGGATGGGGCTGGAGGATGATGGGGTGGGGGTTGAGGGGCGGTGGAGTTCAGGGTCTCTGTAAGAAAGTGTTTATTATCTTCCTATCAGAAATGTAGGGGAGAGGGAGCTGTTTTTTTTTCCCCCGATAAAACATAATAATTTGTGAAACTTAAGAGAGTGGGGGAAAAAAAACCCATTTATAATCCCATCTAGCTACCCAGGCATTTTGAAGTATTTCCTTCTGATACTTTTTTCTTATTCACATTTTATAAAAATGTATAGCCTGTTTCCCTGGTAGCTCAACTGATAAATCTGCCTGCAATGCAGGAGACCTGGGTTCATTCCATGGGTTGGGAGGATCCCCCGGAGAAGGGAACAACTACCCACTCCAGTATTCTGGCTTGGAGAATTCCATGGACTTGTATAGTCCATGGGGTCACAAAGACTCAGACACAACTGAGCGACTTTCACTTTCACTTTCCACCCATTTCTCTTTTTTACATGGCATTTCTTTTTGTTCAAAATGAGCACTTATTAAAAAGTTAGATTCCCAGCCCTCATTCCAGATCGTTCAAATCAGATTCTCTGGAAGTAGGACTAGAGAAGTTACATTTTAACAAGCTTCTCAGATAATTCATATTCATGCTTCTTTAAGAAATTTTTTGAGGGATAAGTTATGTACAGTAAGATTCATCAATTTAAGTGTCCAAAGAATATAATGGCCCTTTGACAAATGTGTCCAGTCGTATGACCTTAAAAGCAGGGTGGTCTCATGAGGGAGCCCAGGGAGCCCAATCAAAACATGGACCATTTCTTTTACCCCCAAAGCTCCCTCGTCTCACTTTGCATCAACACCCTCTCTCCACTTACAGCCCTTGGCAACCAGTGATCTGCTTTCAGTCATGATAGTTTTGCCTTTTCTAGAATTTCATAACAGTGGAATCATATAATATTCAAGTAGTCTTTTTAAACTTCTTTCACTTAACATAAAACCTTTGAGATTTACCCATGCTGTTGCATCTTTCAATAAGTAAATTCCTTTTTGTTGTTAGGAAGCGTTCCATTTTATGGACATACCACAATCTGTTTTTCCGTTCAGTTGTTGGTGGATATTAGAGTTATTTCCACTTTTTAGCCACTTTTGCCTATAAAAGTCTTTGTGTGGACATATGATTTCCATTTCTCTTGGGTTGATACTTAGAATTGGGATTGCTGGGTAGTATGGAATGTGCTCAGTTTTACTTTATAAGAAACTATCAAATTGTTTTTCCCAAGTGACTGTACCATTTGTATTTCCATCAGTAATGGAGTTCCAGTTGCTCTACAAACCTCATCAACTACAGCCTCATTTGATATTGGCAGTCTTTTTAATTTTAACTCATCTAGTGGGTGTGTAGGGGTAGCTCAATATGCTCTTTTTTGTCTGTTTTGGTTTTAATTTTTTAAAATTAGAGGGTAATTGGTTTCCAATGTTGTGTTGGTTTCTGCTGTACAACAACGTGAATGAGCCATAAATAGACATCCATCCCCTCCTTCCTGGGCCTCCCTTACCTGCCCATCCCACCCCTCTAGTTCAAAATACTCTTTTTCAAAAAACTTTTTTATTTATTTTTTATTTTAGGTTCAATATACTCTTAATTTGCATTTCCTTATTTACTGATAACATTGAAGATATCTTCATGGTCTTGCTGTGTATGCCTTATTTATAAAGTGTCTGTTCAAATATTTTGTTCGCTCTTTAAATCCAATGTTTTTCTTGTTTTTACTAAGCTCTGGGAGTTCTTCATATATTCTGGAAACAGGTCTATAACCAGGTGTACATTTTATAAATATGTTCTCCCAGTCTGTGGTTTGTCTTTTCATTTTCTTAAACTATCTTTTGAAGAACAAAATTTTGAAATTTTAATGATGTCCAATTTATCAGATTTTTTTTCTTGTAGAATTCATGCTTTTTGTGTTCTAAAATCTTTGCCTTACATGAGATCACAAGTATTTTATGTTTTCTCCCAGAAGTTTTATAGTTTTAGCTCTTTATTTAGATCAGTTTTATAATGAATTCAACAATTCCAGGATATACGGTCAACATGCGAAAGTCAATTCTGTTTTTATTTGTCGTTGTTGTTCAGTTGCTCAGTCATGTCCAACTCTTTGTGACCCCGTGGACTGCTGCACACCAAGCCTCCCTGTCCTTCACCATCTCATGGAGTCTGCTCAAACTCATGTCCATTGAGTCCATGATGCCATCCAACCACCTCATCCTCTGTCATCCCCTTCTCCTCCTGCCTTCAATCTTTCCCAGCATCAGGATCTTTTCCAACAACAAAAAGTTAATATCTGAAAATCTTTAAAATACTAAAAGCATGAAATGCTTAAGGATAAACTTAGCAAAATATGAGCAAGATCTGAACACTAAAAACTATAAAACATTTCTGAGAAATAGTTTTTTAAAAAATATTTCTTGTACTTGGAGTTTATTGACCTTCTCGGCCATATGGACTTAAGAGTTTTCATCAAATTTGGATAAAATTCAGCCATTCTTCCTTTGCATATTTTTTTCTGTCTCCCCTACCCCTTCCTGTCACTTCAGTTACACAGATGTTATACTGATATCTCACAGGCTGTTGGGAATCTGGTTGTTGGTTTTTTCCCGCTCAACCTATGCCACATTTTAGGTAGTTTCTGTTGCTATGGTTTCAAGTACACCTTTTGTTCTGCAGTATAGTACAGTACAGCGCAGTGCTCAGTCCTATCTGACGCTTTGTGACCACATGGACTGCAGCCCTCCAGGCTCCTCTGTCCATGGGATTTTCCAGGCAAGGATACTGGAGTGGGTTGCCATTTCCTACTCCAGGGGATCTTGCTGACTCAGGGATCAAACTGGATGTCTCTGGCGTCTCCTGCATTGGCAGGCAGATTCTTTACCACTGAACCACCTGAGATCCTTCCAATTCTAGTAAGAGTCCCTGCAGGTTTTTACAAATAGATATTGAGAAGCTGATTCTAAAATTAATACATAAAAACCAAAAGACCTAGAATAGCTGTTAATCCTATCCATTGTGTTTTTCATTTCTGTTATTGTGTTTTGCTTCCACAGAACTTCTGTTTGGGTATCTTGTATGTCTTCTACTCTCCCCATCATGGCCCTTTGTTTTGTCTTTACATTCTCAAGCATGTTTATAATATATGTTGTAACATCTTTGTCTAAGTCCATCATCTCTGACACTTCTGGGTCTGTTTCTAATTACTAATTTTCTCCTGGGTTTTTTTGCATGCTTGATAATTTGTTATTGGATGTCATGCATTGTGAATCACATGTTGTCCTGTCTGTATTTTGTGGTATTTCTCTAAATAGTACTGTACTTTGTTTGGGTGCACAGTTACATTATTTAGGATGATTTGGATACTTTCAAGACTTGTTCTGTAACTTCTGTTAGGGTGAGTCCAGAGCAGCCTTTATTGTGGGTCTGATTCAGCCCCAGAGCTAAGGTGCTACACCGCTGAGGACTCATTCTACTGCCTTGTATATTACAAGCTCTCTGCATCCTTGATGATGGAATACAGATTATTCCCAGCTCCGGTTGAGCTCCAGGCACTGTGGTGCCTCATGTTTCCTGGTAGTTTTCTTTCACGTGTGTATAGACTAACCCTCTGCCGAAGACTGAGGGGGAACTTGGTGCGGCTTTCTAGAGCGGTGAGTCCCTGTCCTCCCTTCCTTTTTCTCTTCTTCCTTCTCTCTCTCTTTTGTCTGCAGGTGCCTTTCTTCTAGTTTTGTGCCTGGCACGTCCTAGCTGTCTTGGCCTCTCTGAACTCCAGTATCTGTCTCCTTAACTCAGTGAGGCTGACACCAGTCGGCTGTAAAGCTCACTTTATTATTTTCTCTCTCAGTGAAGACAGTTCTGCACAACTTGTGGATCAGTGTCTGGAAACCGTTGCTTTATATATCTTGCTCATGTTTCTAGTTGTTCAAGAAGAGAGAGTGTTATGATTCCTTTTACTCAAGTATGGTTTTTAAAAACTATTTAATTAATTATTTATTTGACTGCATTGGGTCTTAGCTGTGCGTGGGGTCTTTTCTGTAGTTGTGGTAGGCAGGCTTCTCTTGTCGAGGAGCCTGGGCTCTAGAGTGCACGGGCTCGGTAAACATAAGCGTAGGCTTAGTCGTCCCACGGAATGCAGGATCTTAGCTCCCTGACCAGGGACCAAACCCATGTCCTCTGTACTGGAAAGCGGGTTTTTAACCACTGGACCACCAGGGAAGTCCCTCCAATACTGATTTTTTAATAGATGTAATCTGTAAGTAGAGATGAACATATTTATTTATTTGTGGTGTGTGCTCAATATTTTTCCTGATGAAGTGGCAATCAAAAATTCCAGAAAGTGGTCTGATATAAAGATTATATAGCTTGGCATGTACAAATTCTTTTGTGGATGGTCCTTTCTTTTATATGTTTGTTAAACTGAAATGTTTAAAGTCCTCCTCCAGCCCATGCAGTCTCCCCTCCCCACCCAGCAAGTGTTGTACCCTACATTTTTTACTAAGCACTATATGATAACATGTTTCTCTGGGATACATAGTAGTCCTTTTGAGACATTTTTGTTGAATACTGCGGTTTTATACTGTACTTAAAGTTGATCTGTTAGTCACTATTTTGTTTTGTTATGCTTTACTTGTCGAAAATCTTATAGAAGAAGGAACACTTTTAGATATGCTTCTAACTTCAAAAGAATTGGTGGGGTTTTCTTATACTGTTGAGTTCACTGGAACTAGATATTATTTGGCTGTTTAATTATCACAGGGTTGCCATGAGTAAATTCAAATTTCTATGATAAACATAGTTTATAAGCCCAAGTAATCAAACACAGTTTTCTACAAAAACATTCCAACACATGTAGTTTACTATAATAAACATCCAGAGCCTTAAAGCACAAGTCAACAGTCTTTGGAAGATGACAATTAAACCCTAAATGTTGCAATAAAGCTTCTTGCCCTTTCTTGTAAATAATAATTAAAGCAAATATTTATATAGCATTGACTTTGTTCTAAATGCTTAAGTATTTTAATTCATATAAGAAATGTGCTTTTATGATGATAGCCTCAGGGGAAGTTTAGATTTAATTTAAATTTTCTGGTTACTGGTATATAAATATTTACTGTTTGCTTCTTCCTAATCTATGTAAGCAAAGGGTAACAGCGAACCCAGTGCTTTGCATTCTCAAAGTCACTTGAGTCAACAACTTTGCTACCTCAAATTTCTTCCAAGGTTTCTCATTAATTGCAGCTGAAGCACATGGCCTCTGATTTAAACTTTAATTATATACCAAGGTTTGAGTTAAAGAATTTGTGGTTTATAATTTTTGATGTCTTTAGGTTTCAGTCATTTTGTTTGACCTGAATCTTCTACTGTAACCCAAAATAACTCTAGAATCTTGAGCACCTTGTTTTGCCTCTACTTCCTGGTCTGAAAAATACGGATACTAAGTACATACCTCTTAGGATTGTCATGAGGATTGGATGAGAGATCATGTGTATAGCACCTAGAACAGGGGCTGGAAATTAATACCTGCTCAGTAAAGTTAGCAGTAGCAGAAATAGTACTAAGATTAGTAGTAGCAGTAGTAGGAACTGCTCACTGAATTTAATATTAGAAGTAATAATAGTAGTAGTAATTGTCCCATAAATTTAATAGTAGTAGTGTATCAATACTAGTAGTACGTAATGACTTATCTAATGAATAGTACAGTTAATGGTTTGCCATAAATTATTCAACCACGCCCCTACCATGGGACATTTTGTTTATTCCTAATTCTTTATCATTGTAAGTAAAGCTGCAATTAATACGCATGTGCACAGAGATTTTTTTTCCCCTTTCTTTGGATGATTCCCTTAAGGGAGTGTCCCAGAAGTGGGAGGACTGCCTTGAACACAAGTGTCTTGGAGAGAGTGAAGACGTCCACAGCACCTCCTTCTCCCTCCCACCCTGGTGTCTCCTCATCTCCTTTCACCCCCATGTGGGGGCTAGTGACTGTGCAGGAGGGGGAAGAAGGACCAGGCTTCTTTGGGGTGGGCATCCCTTATGGTATGTCTCTTTCCCTCCTGCGCTGCCAGCCCTGCTCAAGTTCAGTGATGTGTGAGATAAAATGTGGTGTCCCTCTTAGGGTCACTTGCATTAAGAATTTTTTTTTATTGGAGTATAGTTGCTTTACAATATTGTGTCAGTTTCTATATTACGTTTGTCTGCCACCTCTGGGATCACAGAGGAAACTGCTTGAGCTCGGAGATGCCCACTGAAGGCACCAGTTCCTAAAGCTGGTGGGATCAACAGCTCACAGACCTGTCCCATTTCAGACAGAGCCATGGACACTCACGCCTAATGGGTCTCCTTGATGCCAGTCTCTGAGCTGTCCATTCAGTCCTCTGACGCCCCTCCCTGAATTGCCCTTTTCATCTCATCTTGCCCTGCTCCAGGACCCTCTCCCTGCCCTCCTTCCCTAGCAGGGCATTCCAGATCCTTCCCATTCTGGCCTCAGTGTGTATTCAGTCCTGTCCCCTGTCACGCCCATTCAAGGATGCTCTGTCCCAGCCTGGCAGTCCCATCGTGACCCACCAACACCAGTCTCCTGCCCTTGGCTCTGCTGCTCCCTTCTGAGCGTACCTTCCTTTCACCTCCTCTTTGAGTCTCACCCATCTGCCAAGACCTCACCCAGTCCCCCCCAGCCCGGGAAGCAGCTCTGTCTGCTCCCGCCTTCCCTGTATATCAATAGCATTTGCCCTCTGATCCACTCCCAGGTGGTTCAGACAGTAAAGAATCCGCCTGCAATGCAGGAGATGCAGGTTCAATACCTGGGTTAGGAAGATCCCCTGGAGAAGGGAATGGCAACCCACTCCAGTATTCTTGCCTGGAGAATCCCACAGACAGAGGAGACTGACAGGCTACAGTCCACAGGGTCACAAAGAGTTGGACATGACTAAAGTGACTTAGTATGCATGCACACACTCAAATATGAGGTCTAGCTCCTGGGGTGGTTGTAAGGCTTACATTGGACAGTGGCTATAAGGTAACTCGTGTATGCCATGCATAGGGCCTGCCCAGCTCAAGCAGCCCAAGGTGGTCATCTTTCCCCTCTATGGTGTTGGTCAGATGGAGGTACTGGATGAACACGTTAGCGGATGGTATTTGTATGAGTCCCCTCCAAGCCCTGGGGCAGAGTGGCTGGCGTCCTGCCCTGTCCCCATCACAGGTGCTGGCCCCTCAGCCCTGCCCTCTCCTCCCGCCACGTAGGCCGTTTTCTGGAGCTGCACATGTACATGACCTCTGCGCTGAGCAAGAACGACATAAAGGCCATTGGTCTGCAGATGGCCCTTGACCTCCTGGCCAAGAAGGAGAAGAAGGATTCCATCACGGGCCTCCAGACACGCACCCAGCCTGGGCGGCCTGACTGGAACAAGGTAAAGGTCACCTGGAGTCCTGAAGCCTGCAGGGACTAGTGCGGCTGAGAGCCGGAGGCACTGGCTAGGGAGATTTGGGCCAAGCAACGAGAAGCAAAGCTTGGGGCCAGCATCCAGAGTCCAGCTAGGATCTCAGGGCTGGAATGGGAGGCAGGGTACCTATGTTCTGGCTCAGCACTACCTCACTTTGTTCCACCACTAGCCTCTGTTTCCCCATCTGCTCACAGAGCAAGTTAGTCCATGGGACCTCTAAGGCCCCTCCCAGCCTGCAAACACCCTGCAGACCAGAGTCCTAAGGCCCCAGTGGACAGAGTTCTGGGGAGATATCAGGCCTTATCCCAGTCTTTCTATTTTATTCCTCAGATTGATTTTATTATTATTTTTCCTCCCTGAGCACTTACCAGTTGGGGTGTAGTGTTTGCCTGAAATGACCAGAAGGTATTGCTTTTCAAACTGCTGTAGGTGATCCGTGTTTAGATGGTAAGAGCTGGTGGGGAAGGGATGCCAGCAGGCCTTGAACACCAAGAAAACTTTAGTCAAGGAAATTCTTAAGCAGAACTTGGGATGGAAAACGGTCCTCCCCGGGGAAGAAAGCCTGACTTCAGGACAGAGGCATTTCAGTGGAGGCCTGTGAGCTGACATGAAGTTGGGGTGTTGGGGCTCAGTGTGCCCGCTGCCTGCTGGACTCTGCCATCGCCCCCCAGCACTGCAGCTGGTTAGTACATGTCTCCCCCATGGATGCAGCCCGTTAAGTGAAGGGCCTGGGTCTTATCTGCTTCTGGTCCAGCCCTCCCTGGGGTCTGGGTCAGGTTATACATTGAGCAAATGGCCCCTAAACTAATGGCCAAAGCCAAGCAGCTATGCCCTGGAGCTCCTCGTGGGGAGGACAGCCACCCTGGCCCATGATGCCCTCAGTCCCACTGGGTGAGTCACTGGGCGGGTTCAAAGTCCCCCTCTTCTCCCTCTGCCCTTCCCCCATTCTGCGGACTCTAGGTGTTCCAGAAGGTGGCCGCTGAGAAGAAGGGCAAGGTGCAGGTCTTCTTCTGTGGCTCCCCAGCTCTGGCCAAGATCCTCAAGGGCCACTGTGAGCAGTTCAGCTTCAAGTTTTTCCAGGAGAACTTCTAGCCCTGCCTCTCCCAGCTCTGCCCAAACCCACACTGCCCACCAGCCTGATGAGACTGCTGCTGGTGCCCTGCAGGGACCAGCCTCAAGAGGACCCAGCAAATCCAGCTCCACATGCAGAACAGGAGGCCATAGGAGGCAGATGGACTTCCTTAAGAGCCCAGGGAGAGGGCGGGGCCTTGTGGGGTGCTGCTGTGAGTTTGAGAATTGCTGTGGGGCTGGGCAGACTTGGTCGGGGGATAGAGGGGTGGAGGTGACGTGGTTGGGGAGCACAGGGGGCCTGCCCTGGGCAACCTGTCTTCCAGAAGTCTTCTGAGGACACCTTCCCTCCTTCTACAGTGGCCCCAGACCCACCTGATCATCATGGTCATTCTGGAACTTCCACACACACAGCATTTTATTATGAAAATTTTCAGACATACAGAAAATTTAAAGACTCGTCCAGGGAACAGTGTTACCCACTTTTTAGATTCCTCAGTTAACATTTTGCTGTGTTTGGCTTACTACATATTTTCTATCTCCCCCTCCCTCTATTCATCCATCAGGCTATCCTGTTTTTCTGATGCATTTCAAAGCACCCCTTGCTACTCAGAGGAACTTTCTTTAAAGGTAGATTCCTGGGATCCATGCCCAGAAATTCTGATTCTGCAGATCTGGGGTTGAGACGTGGAATGTGTGTTTTATCCAGAATCCATGTCCATGGGGAGAGATGAGCAGCTAATTTCCTCTTCTCTTTGTCTTCCCATCGCTCTTTATATCTGTGTCCCTTTTCTTCTGTCTTTCTCCTGTGTCGCTCCCCTGTGTTGTCCCTTCCTTGCTCGGCATGATGCTTTTCCCTTCTCTCCACACACTGAGTCATTAGAGAAGTGGGGTGGAGACAGAGTCTCTGTGTGTGTCTCCATGGGAGTCAGAGAAGTCCTGTGCCTGGGAATCTGGCAGGTTGTGGCTTGTAGCTCAGTTCAGCTGTGCCCCAGTGGTGAGCCCTGGAAACCTCCTCGAGCTTGTTTCATCTGAAGGATGGGCCTGATGTCCTGCCTCCCCAATCACAGTTGCTGGGGGTGAAATGAGACATCACCAGTAGTGCTCAGGACATTCATCCTCTGTCCCTGGGTGGCTCTTTATATTGCTCCATCATCTGAGTCTCTGCATCTTCTCTCTATTTCATGAAAGTGAAAGTGAAAGTCGCTCAGTTGTGTCCAACTCTTTGAGACCCCATGGACTATGCAGTCCATGGAATTCTCCAGGCCAGAATACTGAAGTGGGTAGCCTTTCCTTTCTCCAGGGAATCTTCCCAACCCGGGGATCAAACCCAGGTCTTCCACATTGCAGGCAGATTTTTTACCAGGTGAACCACAAGGGAAGCCCAAGAATACTGGAGTGGGCAGCCTGTTCCTTCTCGAGGGGATCTTCCAGACCCAGAAATCGAACCAGGGTCTCCTGCATCGCAGGCAAATTCTTTACCAACTGAGCTATGAGGGAAGCCTGTTCCCTACTTCATAGCTCCCTCTCTGTCTGTGTTGGAGCCTCTTTTTGTATCTGTCACTGTCCAGACAGGTATAGATGGCAAGGACAGCAAATACAGAAGCTCTCCTGGGAGACTCTTTGGGGAGGTGATGCCCTGGGTGGCAGGCAGGGGCAGCAGGGCTGGCCTCACCCCCAGACCTGAGCTGGGTGTTTTCTCTCTGCCCCACACTGAAAGCCCCTGGGGACCTCACAGTTGCCTCATGTCCTCTACCTTGCAGCTGGTCTTGCTGGGTTGCACCTCTTGTGACAGTCTAAACTCTCCTCCCCAAAGCAGCTTTCAGGGGATTGGAATCAGGCACTTTCCAATGGGATTGTAGAATATACCTTTCTTTTCTGTGGGTTAGAAGTCCTGGGCACGGAACAGGTAAAGATGACAACCATGATGGTGACACCTCTTAAAAGGGCTGGGCATCAGAGCGGGACCTGGGACACAGCAGGTGAGGGGAGTGCAGAGGACACTTGGAGTCATCTTGTGGGTGACAATGAAACGACATCGGTGAGAGAAGTTCTTTTCAAATAGCAGCAGCAAAAGGGGACTTCCCTGGTGGCCCAGTGGCTAAGATTCTGCGCTCCCAATGCCGGGGGTCCAGGTTTGATCCCTGGCCAGGGAACTAAATCCCACATTCCACAACGAAAAGTTCCCATCCCGCAACTAAGATATCCCACATGCCACTACTAAAGACCCCACACGCCACCACTAAAACCCAGCACGACCAAATAAATTTATTTTTAAAAAGCAGCAGCAGCAAGAAAAGGGGATGGTAGATAAGGATGTTGAAGTGCACCTTGGGGCAGAGGGCAGGACAGAGCATGAGGACTGGGACAGAGAAAAGGTGGGACACAGGACATCATATTCCGGATGCAGGAGGAGCGGGAGGAAGAATGCAGGAGGAAGAGTGGGACCCAGCTGTCAGCCCAGGTAACGGAGGCGCCCACAAGAGCCCTATGGAGGGCAGGAAGGAGGGGCACTGGGTCCACAGGGCCTCTCCTGGGGGTGGGCATCACATGTCTGAGAGGCCTGGTGCTGGGGCCTCTGCACACGGTTGTGTTTCATTTCCAACAAGCCTGGGATAGACATCTAACTCCCATGGAGAAACTCGGACCAAGAACAGTCAACTTACCAGCCTGGGGTCACACTCCTGGAGCCCATTTCCTCCTGTTGATTCTGTGTTTTCACCTTGTCAGCAGTCTTGGGATAGCTTGAGGAAAAAAAAAAAGTGTCACTTAGCGGAGTGTAGATGTAAGCTAAGAGGGTATCCTGATGGGGGACTGGTAAAGAGAATATAGCAAAGTCATGTGGCAAGAGTTTGCAGACCATTCTAGTGTGTGCTAACAGGACTTCACACACACACACACACACACACACTCATGCACACACACACTCATGCACACACACTCATGCACACACACGTGCGCACGCACACACACGCATGCACACACAGGACTTCTCTCTCACACACACACACACACACTCATGCACACACACACACTCACGCACACACAGTCACCATTATCTCACAGTTTGCCCAGGACAGCTGCTCATACTCCCCTGAAACACTGGTCCCCCAGTCCGCAGTTCCTTGCTCTCTAATTACAGATTTCCACTGATCTGCCACTGCATACAAACAGCAATTTTATCTTCCGAAGGGCATGGGAGCATGTGGAGGAACTTGCACCTAGATTCTAAAATCCTTGAAGGATCCACAGGTGTGACTTGTGACCATGTGTGTCCAAGGCTTTCTCGCCGGACATACCCTAGTTACCCACTGGAGGGCGCTGCGGAACCGGCGATCTCAAGAGGGTTTGTTCTGCTGGGAGGGAGGCTGGCTTCCGAAGGGTAGTGAATCTGGAAGAGCCGGGAAATAAAGCCCCACCCTAAAGCTCTTTGCTGGAGGCAACAGCTCCATCACACACTCATGCACACACGCACACACACACACACACACACACACAGTCACCATTATCTAACAGTTTGCCCAGGACAGCTGCTTATACTCCCCTGAAACACTGGTCCCCCAGTCCGCAGTTCCTTGCTCTCTCATTACAGATTTCCACTGATCTGCCACTGCATACAAACAGCAATTTTATCTTCCGAAGGGCATGGGAGCATGTGGAGGAACTTGCACCTAGATTCTAAAATCCTTGAAGGATCCACAGGTGTGACTTGTGACCATGTGTGTCCAAGGCTTTCTCGCCGGACATACCCTAGTTACCCACTGGAGGGCGCTGCGGAACCGGCGATCTCAAGAGGGTTTGTTCTGCTGGGAGGGAGGCTGGCTTCCGAAGGGTAGTGAATCTGGAAGAGCCGGGAAATAAAGCCCCACCCTAAAGCTCTTTGCTGGAGGCAACAGCTCCATGCCGGGACTCAGGCAGAGCCGTGAAGCCAAGAGACTTCATTTTCAAGATTAGAGTTTCTCGGGACTTCGTGGTGGTCCAGTGGTTAAGACTGTGTTTCAGAGTCTCATGCACCTTCACAGGGTGCATGGGTTCCATCCCTGGTCGGAAACTTCCAAATGTCCTGAGGCACGGCAAAGAAGAAAAGTCAGTTTCTCTAGCTGCCAGCCTCTTAGCGACACACAAACACACAAATGCACACACAGCCCTCCACCTCCCCACCCTCTGCTCCACACACACACACACACACACGCACACGCGCGCACACACACACCATCCCTCCCATCCCTGTAGCCAGTGTACAAGTTCTGGGCTTCCCTCTTTTCTAGGGGCAAGGTCAGAGCAGGTCTGGGGCGGCGGGCTGGAGGGTAGGGGGAGTTCACTGGCCCAGGCTCTGCCACTTCACCTCATCATAGGTGACAGGATCAAGTATGTGGGCGTACAGATCAGCCGGGCGGTCCATCTGGATGTTTCCTAGATGCCCAGATGGGGGCCAACCTGCCGTTAACCAGAAACAAGTGCATCCCCACGACTGACTTTTTCTTCTTCCACCCAGGTGTTGGCAGTGCTCTAGGCGAACAGAGAGGGAATGCAGGTGAACTCGAGATCAGGGCGGGTTATTAGGGTGTGTACCGCCCACTCCATCCAGCTGGGAGCTCCCAGAGGTCAGGCCTGTGGCCCTAGGGCCTCCTGTAGACGGAGGGGCCTTGCGTGGGTATCAGCTCCCCCCTGGTGAGGGGCTTCTTAAACAGACTCGTCCTCGGGAAGCGTCCTCCGCTTGTAACTGTCACGGCAATCTGGGGAACAGAAGCGAGAACACAAGCCCGCTGGACGAATCGCTTTGCCAGGCTCCAGGACGCTGCTCTGCCGTGACGCCAGCTCTGGAGCGGTCAGCAGCATCAGTGACACAAAACGTCTGACAGCCTCCCGCACGTGCGGTCTATTAATGCGCTGAGAGCCGGCGGTGCTGAGGAGCGCCGCCGCCTTGCAGACAAGGTGGAGGTGGTTCTTGTTCACTCAGCCGTGTCCGACTCTGCGACCCCACGGACTGCAGCACGCCAGGCTTCCCTGTCCTTCACCATCTCCCCGAGCTTGCTCCAATCCATGTCCCCTGAGTCCGTGATGCCAGCCATCCCACGGACTGCAGCACGCCAGGCTTCCCTGTCCTTCACCATCTCCCCGAGCTTGCTCCAATCCATGTCCACTGAGTCCGTGATGCCAGCCAGCCATCTCGTCCTCTGTCATCCCCTTCTCCTGCTTTCGATCTTTCCCAGCATCAGGGTCTTTTCTAATGAGTCAGCTCTTCGCATCAGGTGGCCACAGTATCGAAGCTTAGAGACATGAGCCACTCCGGTCAAGATCGGCTGCTGGCAAACTCCTGGGGCCTGTGCAGTGTGGGAAGGCTTTTGCCCTCTGAAATCCAGGAGCGGCCTCTGCTTCTGGTCTGTGACCTAGATCTGCCCTGTGACCTCCCGGAGCTCTTCCTGCCTCAGTGAACAGATGAACGGTGTGCACATTTAAAGGCTTATAGGTGCATAGTCTTTCCACAAAGTTACACAGAAATGTGTTTTATCTGTTTGCTCTGAGTGAGTGGGAAGGACTGTGTGGGTTTGTTGTGTTTTTTTTTTACCTTTTTATTTTCTACCCCTGTATCAATTTTGATATTTTTATGACAAACGTGTATTAGTTTTATAGCTGTATTTTTAAAAAAAGAAATCCAAAATAGAAGGCTGATTAAAAATTCAAATGTCATGTTTTCATGTGTTTCCATTCCATCTAACAAAAAACAAACAGTGTCTGCGTATCGTGCAGGAAATAAATAGAAATGTGTTGGAAGAGGGTAAGAAGGATACACACCTAACAGTGCCCAGCGGTCAACTGGAAGAAGGTAAAGGAGCACTTTGAGAGGTCCTCTCTGCTCTATTTCATGTATTTATTACCCATTGAATGTTTCACAGCATGGAATTTTTATACCATGCCCTTCATATATTACTCGGTTTTTATCTGTGTACGTATGTGATGGTCTGCGTCCTTTTTAAAAGAATAAAGCAGAATGGAGAGAGTGTCTGAGGTGTCTCCTAAAGACCCCTCATATTGATGAGTTCTCCCATGGGAGTGTTTGGGGCCCTGCTGGCCCTGGGAATGGGCCCCTTCCACTGGGGGGCGCTCCCGCCTCTTCTACAGAGCAAGGCTGCTCCTGTGCTCAGATTCAGAATGCAAAGCTGCCAGCCAGACGTGCTCTAAGTATTCAAATTAAAGGCCCTTCCAGGCCCAGGGCTGGTCCAGAAAGACTGCCTCGGGGGCACTGACTCTGCTAAACAAATACTCACATTAACCAGCTTTCCTGACAGATTGATGCATCTTTTTATGATCTGTCTTTACAATATGATGACTCTCNCCAGCTTTCCTGACAGATTGATGCATCTTTTTATGATCTGTCTTTACAATATGATGACTCTCTCCTTTTAAAAATAAGATTAATTCAGACAAGACATTTATTTTACAGGGAAATCCATCCTGGGGGGGATGAAGACTCCAGCAGAAAGGCAGAGATGACTGAAGAAAGAGCGCTCTCAAGGAAGCTTCCTGCCTCCCAACAATAGCTCTGTGACAGTGGCCCCAAATTAGCTGCCCTAATCCTACACCACCTGGAATCACCCCAGTTGCATGAGTGTTGCCTCCTGGAGAAAAAATAAATCAGGGAGTGGGTTTCAGTGTGTGGTGGGGGGGTGGCGGGGTGGGGTGGGAGGAAGTGAGGGAGGGAATGGGTGTATTATATTTTTTGGTAAAAGAAGAAAGTTCTGAGATTCTCCCAAACTTGTTTGGACATATGTGTATACAGATTAAGCTTGTCTTTAAAGAATAGAGAAGTACATCCAAGGGAAATGAATTACTCGTCTCTGTCTCTATGTCTGGAATAGCACTGCCATCTAGCAGGTGCTTGGCAGTGGTTCGTGAAGGCTTCTGCGCTGTGATCCCTGTTTCAGCTGGTGGCATCAGCAGGTACCCTTGACTCCTCTGTCTCCCCATCTTCCTCTCTCAGCCAGCCACCAAGGGCTGCCAGCATGCTTCTCACATCCATTCCCTCCTGTGTTGGTACTGCATTGGTTCAGTCCTTCCATAGACTGTTGCCTGGACTATTATATCCATCTCCTGGTTGGTCGTCCTTTCTCCAGCCTCTCTGGGTCTGACTCATCCTCCACACTGTTGCAGATCTGATTAGACCCCTTCCTGTTGGATAACTGTCCTGTCACAGTCATCAGATTGCCAAGACTGGCCACAGGCCTTCCTGCGCGAGCCTTTGATTCAGTTCTGCAGGCAGTGTCATTACTGGCCCTTCTTCCTGTGTCTGGCCAACATCCATTTCACCTTCATACTCTAAAAATGCCGTAGAACTCAGCGTTGCCCTGAACCCTATGCCATTTCACACCTTCAAGCCTTTGCTTCTGTGGTGCCTGACATTTGGATCACGCTTCCCCACCTTCAGATTGAGATCTCAGAACATTTTATCAGCTCATCTGTGAAGACTTCCTTGCTGCTCCCTCCTGGCGTAGAACAACCTCCTCTGTGTGATTGCATTGGACCTATTTCCACCACAGCATCTGTCACAGGCATCAGCTTTACCTGTACCTGTCTGTGAACCCCTTGAGGGTAGGAACAGTGTCTGTGCATCTTTGTCTCCTCCATGCCTGGCACATAGTAGGTGATCATGTGTTGGTGCTGATGACCTGACACAACTCACTTGAAGCCCCATCTCTCTGTCTACTCCCTTTCTCTGCTCTGCTCTGCCCCTTCCGGGATAAAGAAACTTCAACATCTCTGCCGGCAGACTGGACCAGCCTTACATGTGGATACAGTAGGCGGCTGCCTTCAAGGTGCAACTCAAGGGTCCCTAGAAAGATCCCTGCCTCCCCCATCTTCCACCCCTCCCACAGTTGCTTCTCTTCTATGAGTGGCGGTCAGGATTCCTATAGGTCCGCCTTCAGCTCCCCCTGTAGAATGAGGAGGTGGGACTCAGGGTCCCTTGTAACTCTGCGATCCTTCCTTCTCCTCTTCCTCCTTCTTCTTCTTTCTTCTTCTAACTCAAAAGAGATGAATGACTTAGAAACAGCCAATGAATCAGAAATAGGGGAAAGCAAAAAAAAAAAAAAAAAACCAAAGAGTAATTTTGCCAAGTTATTATTCAAAGGAGCTCTCTGGGACCAGGAGCAGAGCAGTGCCATCAATCACCGCACAGAGCTCTGGGCCTGGGGTGGGGGGAGGCGGCCGCGCTGTCTGTGAATGGCTCTGGGCTCCGTGCGTGAGTGAGCAGCCAGCCCAGGGAAGCTGGGGCCCTCTGCCAGGCACCACAGAGGGAGGGTGGGAGGCCAGAGGGACACTGAAAGGGGACAGGCAGCCCCAAGTCCTGGGACAAGGCTTACTGACCCGCTTTCCTCAACAGGCCAGAGCCCTGGGGCCTGCCCTCTGGACTGGACTGGGCCAGCTCTGGGGAAAGCACTATTTGGAGCAGAGGGAAGAGGGATGCAGGACGCAGGCCTCAAGTCTGGAGCCTCTTCTGCTCAGCTGCTCTCCCCAAGCCTTTGCTACCCTGAGGGAGGCAGCCTTGTCCCACCAGAAGGGGGCCTAGTTCACACTCATCCCTGCATCCCAGGGCTTAGCTCAATGCAGTTTCCTTGAATGAGTGAACCGATTTGAGGATGACAAACTTGTTACAGGACATTGTTTGCTTCTCTTTGGGTTTTTAAAAAATTACTTTACCGTAATTTTTCTGCATAGGTTATCACTGCTTATTACATTGCAATTATAACCCACTTGGGGCAGAAGGGAAATCTGATTTCTCTCTGCGCACACGTTCCACAAATAGGAAGCCCCTGAAAAATATGTATGGAAGGAAAGAGGACGGGAGGGAGAGGCAGAACTTCTTGATGGCATCTAAGCTGCCATGCATCCCCGTGGTCCCACTGTGTCATCATCTGGGTCACTGTTGGCCCCAGGCTCTGCATTGGAGGACATTTTGTTGCTGCTTACTAGGTGAGTTTGTTGCATTCTTAGGTTCTAGGTGCTGGAGTTGAACAGTGGACAAAAGATTTCAAGGGCTGCTCTGTTTCCTCATCTGTAAAATGGTGTCTGTCAGATAGGGAAATGGGAAAATGATTAAATAAATTTATGTGTATAAGGTGCTTAAGACAGTGCTTGGCAGGTAGTAAGTTTTAATAAATGCTGGTTATTTCTGTCTTAGTGTGTTTGGACTGCTATAGCCCAATACCATAACCTGGAGGTCTTATAAACTACAGAATTTGTTTCTCACAGTTCAGGAGGCTGGAGTCAGAGATCAGGGTCCCAGCATGGTCCGGTTCTGGTGAGGACCCTCTTCCAAGTTGCCCCTCTGCCATCAGGACTGGTCTGCTGCCCTTTGTCTTCAGGCCCATTATCACTAGACACATTTGTGAGCCTGATAAACAACCTTCCTTCCCAGGGAGGACTACCAGGCACCCAGGAGTCCGCAAACACTGCTCGCCACCCACCATGTCCCTGGGGAAGCCTTGACCAGCTATGTGGACATCACTGCATCATTTCCAAAAGCAGCAAATCTTCCCCGGCTGCAGGAGGCCCGGGAAGACAGGAAAATGGAATCACAGCCCCTCCAGCTCTTCAGCTCTGCATTGTGAATTCTGGGGATAATGTGTCTTCTTTTCTCCCCTGATTGCTCCTGAAATCTCCTGCCTGTTTATCAAATCTGAGTGCTTCGCTGCACTTGGCTCTTCAGCTCTGTCTGTGCGCCTCTTCTCTAGAAAGGGGAGACAGAGATGTGCTCCTGGGGGATTTCCATCCAGTGTTGAGGACAGGAAGGCCAGTTTCAATGAGACTGTCCCCGTGTCACCAGGGGAGCAAGCAGATGGGTGGGCTTGCAGGGCATGAGGCAGGAGGGCCTCAGAAAGCACCCGACACCCCTGTCTAGGCTGGGCTGAGGCTCATCTCCCAGAAAGGAAAGTCCCCTCCTCACACTGCACTCTCCCAACAAAACCCGATCGAGGCAGCCGAGGCATATTCATTCATTCACTCCAAAGGCACAGCACCAGGTGACAAGGACAGACAACCTTAGGGCCACTGCAGTTAAGTAAATGCCAGGACAGGGCCTCGTGAGCTGCTGTGGCGGCCGAAGCGGAGGGGAATCCAAGTTAGGGCTGGAGAGAGATGTCCCCTGGCCCTGATCTTGGAGGAGGCATCAGAAACGGGTGGAGGGTGTATCTGTACACAGAAATCCAGGCATGTGCAAAAGCACAGAGGTGTGACTGTTTAATCTTAGGGTGACTGGATGGCAGGTTTGACACATCAAGTTATCAGGACCTCACCCTGAGCAGTAGTCTGTGTGTTGCTTCAGATTCTCAAGATGGAGCACCTGAGTGGCCCAGCTCCCGTCCGTCCTGCCAGGTATGGATTGGCTGGGGAGCAGGTAGGGCCTGGCGCTTATAGGATCACAGGGTGAGGAGCTGTGACGTGTTCCCCAGAGGGGTGCGGGCAGGGCAGGCAGTGAGCGAGCCTTGGACCGTGACGGCCTTTACTTGTGCCTCTACTCGATACCGTGCATTCAGATCCCACCCGAGCCTCTTCACTCTCTCGTGGCCCCAGATTGTTTCAGCTGTGTGTGTCATTTCCAGCTAGCCTGAAAGCTCCTGGACACTGCATCCTTTCTCCACCACCCTCACATTTCCTACAGAGCCCTTGGAAAAGAGCTTAGTAAGCAGCAATAAAGACTTTTTGCCCCATCTTGGGTTGATTAAAGAAAAAAATGTAATTTTTTTTTAACATTAAAAAAAATTTTTTTTGGCTGCACCCCACAGCATGTGGGACCTTAGTTCTCTGATCACGGATGGAACCCACACCCGCTGCCTTGGAAGGCAGTCTTAACCACTGGGCCACCAGGGAAGTCCCTCCGGTGTTATTTTTCATTGCTTTACTATTTGCTTAAGAATTGCAATAGGATAGTTGTCTCTTTGTCAGGGCCTCACCCTGTGAACAGTAAGGAGCAAGATGACCTGACCCCAAAATCCTTCCCTCTTCTCCTGCAAGCTGACCCCTGACTTTGTGCTGGGCAACCCCAGGTGATAACGAATGACCAGATTAATTAGTCCTGAGAACGCTGATGTAGCCACATGCCTCTTCTCCCCAGTGATGGTGAGAATCTGCTGGGGATTCTGGGAAAGTTTTCTTTTTCTGATAAAAGGAGCAGGAGAGGCTGGTGCCACCTCTCTCTCGTGCTTCCTGTCTTGGTTGAGATTCCCGGACATCCCAAGTGATCCTAGGACCAGGAGGCGGAAACCAGTAGACAGGGTGAATGGAGGACCCAGGTAGAAAGGCCTGGGCACCCCAGGCTATGTGGAGCCCCTGCCCGCACCAGGGCTTGCCTTCTTGTTCTAGGACAGGAAGTTTGCTCTGCTCCCAGAACAGTGCCAGGCACGAAGTCACCTCTCAGTAGTTCTCTGTGGATTGAGGGATTGTCTTTATTGTTTAGACTACTGTTAGGAGTTGTGTTGAAAGTGAAATTGAAAGTCTCTCGGTTGTATCCGACTCTGAGACCCCATGGACTATACAGCCTATGGAATTCTCTGGGCCAGAATACTGGAGGGGGTAGCTGTTTCCTTCTCCAGGGGATCTTCCCAACCCAAGGATGGAGCCCAGGTC